TGCCCGCCGTGAAGCCTCCGTCCGGAAGAGTATTTTTCCTCGAGGCCGCGGCCTCTGAAACTGCCCCGTCCTCTCCTGCTCAGGGGGATACTGTGTTACAGTGTGAGCACATCTTCGAAGCAGTCACGAAGCTCGTCATGCTGCTCAAGAGGGGGAACGTGGTGAATGTCGCTCAGGGAAGGTAGGGGCTTTCTTCGGCGATCGCCCATTCACCAAGGCAGCCGGGGGCTTGCGGCCCAGTTCTCCAAGGAGGGCCTGCCGTCCCTGGGGGGAAGCTGTTGGCCAGGGCAGGTGACAGCCACACCTTTCGCTTGAGCACCATGGGCCAGAGGACAGCAGTAAAATTTCTTTAGGATGTGGAGGAAAAAGCCTTGGCACAGAGGGTGCTCTTATTCGAGTCTCTCATCTCTGAAGGAGGTGCCATGTTTTCAGTTTCACGGGCACAAGGCGGCTGAGCAGCAGGCCCTGTCAGCTGGCTGGTCAGGGACCACATGGGGGTTCCTGGGGCTGAATCCCGGAGGCTCCTAGACCCCCGTGCAAGCAGCCTGCCTCCTCCCCCCACCCCCCACCCCTCCCGCTGCTCCTAGTGGGTCTCAAGCCACTGTGGGCTGATGAGCAAATTCCTATATGCAAGAGGGAGAGAGAGTGGGGAGTGCTCCCCTGAGGGGAGACCTGGTCACCCCATGAGCATTTCAGCAGGACCATACGTAGGTGGTTCTTCAGACGGCGGATTGGCCCCCTGAAGAACTGAACATGCTAAGTTGATTTGGGAACAGGCACAGAAACATGGGGTAAGTTTCCCAGTTGTGGCAATGGTTGTCTTTTGAGGACTCAAATGTGCACTAAAACTCTGTAATAATACAAATGGGAATTTGATCTCGAAGCTACTAACGTCTCGTTAGTGAGTTTCTTTTGTAGACAGAAGGTGAAAAACAGAACGTCAGTAACTGATCACTTGGTGTGTTTTCAGTTTACAGTTTTGTATCAGTCCTGGAAAAAAAGGCACAATAGTTTTCGACACAGGACCGGAAGAACAAATCTATAAAGATAAAAACGGCCAGTTAACAGTGGTGAGTGGCTGTGGCGGGAGGTGAGTTTTACCTGAGAATATAGATTAAAATGTGACCATTTTCAGCCCTCCTCTAGACTTTTCATGTCTCCCTCTGTTCCCGATTCTACATCAAAACAACAGGAAGGTATTGATGCCAAAGACACATTCACACACGGGAATGAGAGGGTTTGAAGAAAGCAAGTTTACCTCCCATTTCTGGTTGTTAGTGAACAGGACGGTGACGTTAAATATCTTCTCAGTTTTAAATGCCGAAGCCAATTTTTCGCGGGAGGGCCAAGGCCTAAGGCTCTCCCAGCGAGCTTCTGAACATACCTGGTCCGGAGTCTCGGCCCTGGACCCTGTGCTGTGACTGGCGGGCGTGTGGCTTGGGCTTTGCAATGGGAGTTGTGTCAGGTCCGAAGAGCAGAGCTGACCGCTGTCTGGTGCAGTCCAGGCTGGGTGCTCAGTGCTTAGTCCTCCCTGCTGGTCTCACTGTGCTGGGCCGGGCATCCCAAAGCTCTCACTGGCCACGTGGTACACCGGGCTTAGTTTGATACCATTTTGCTAGGAAATGACAGAGTAAAACCTGAGGGGGCTGCATCTCTCAGATATATTTTGTAGGTGCACCCAGTATTATCATCTGATACAAACGAATGAGCGAACAGTCTGTCAATATATGGGGTGTCTCATACATACTTCCATTTGCATCCCCTTAACTGTGAAACTTTTTGTGGGTGTAAATAGGACCCCAAAGGCTTTCATAACACAATTGCCCCTGAGCTTCTTCAGGGAGAAGATAAAATCTTGAAGTATCATTTCAGATGTAAGCTATCAGGTGACTTTTGAGTTTACATGCTGTCTTAGGGGTATAACCTTTAAGAATGATTTTTTTTTTTTTACAGTTTAATAAGGAATGATTTTGTCTTGGGAGTCACACGGCTTGTCTGCCTGACTGGCTCAGGCTGAAAATGCTAAGCAGCGTCATTGAGTCCTTTTCTAAATGCCCTTTGTCTCGGTGGCAGGTGGGGCTGGCTTCTAGAAGCTCGTCCGCACCGCTGCTGGGTCACGAAGGGTCTCTAACCTAAGTGTGGGCACTCTCCCAAGGTGTCGGTCCGCACGAAGTCCTCTTGACCTCGCCCATGGCCATCTCTGTTCCGGCTGAGGAAAGCACCGAGGAAGCAGGAGGCTGTCCAAGGAGCTACACCTTCAAGGAAAGAAGTCCCAGCAGCTCTAGGCAAAGGAGCACCTCTGAAGAAACTGAGTGGCATCTGCCCATCTCCCGGTTCTCAGCAGCACTGGGGCACTAAAGGAAAAGGTCCTCTTCAGGGGCCCAAACTCAAGTTACCTGCGGGGATGGGTTTCAATGTCCCTACCCAGTCCTTCCCTCGATGGGTACTTGAACATGTCATTATAGGGTGGGCAACAGATCCTCTACCTTTGTCAAGCTGCCCCTGAGGAACAATTTGATAAAGCTGCAAATTTTGAATTTTGCTTTAACTAAATGGAATTTAGGCGCTTTGGGTTCCAGATGGGGAGCTGTAGCAGAAATGTTAAGGCCGTGGGTGTGTTTCTTTCTTGTCCCGGGCTGCCCCCTTCCCTTGTATTAAAGTAGCAGCAACCCCAGCTGATTGATTCACTCTGCTTTCCACCTAAGACTTCCTTACAGTGTTTAATAGAACGATGACCTCCCCCCCCCCCGCCCTCCCCGGCGACTTCAAGGTGATAAAGCAGAATGAAAGGGGGCTAGAGGCCTTCCTCTCTTTGCTGTGAACCCCCTCGCGCTGGCTGGATTGTGCTGGGTGTTTCTGAAAAGACCCAGAAAACTAAACAGAGGCATCATGTAACTTTTATTTTACACGTCCACAAATGCTTGTACAACATACAGTGACTACTTCTAACGTTTATAGCATTTTCTTCATAGCACAAAAAGGTAGGTTAGTGACACAGGTGTGCCACAGGCACGCTGGGGTGGAGCACACACTGTGGAGGAGGGCTGAGTGTTGCTGACACGTGGGTCCCGAGCAGCTGCTGGGAGGTACAGGTGAGCCCACTTACGCGGAGCGCGGGGTGTCCCTGCACCTCGGCCAGGCTGCTCGTCTGCTACCTACCGTGGGGGGGGGGGGGGGGGGCAACAGAAGAGGTTACTCCAGGATTGTCTTGGGCACAGGCGCCCAGTCACCACAAAGGACTTCTTTCAAAAAGCTGTTTTACTTCAACTGTAAGCTCTTACAATGTAATAAAACTTCACTCTTTCTTTACCAAATCTTAAGCCAGTGTTTTACTTAGATGGTTCTTAAGTATAAATACGGACCTTTGTTTGCCCTTCATGCTAGCATAAGAATCAGTTCCTTGTGGAATACATCTGCTACCACAGCTTGGACCAGCCAACACTTGCTGTCAGCTCCTGGCTGTGCGGCTAACGGTGCGTCATTCACCATGGAATGTTTCAGGAACCTGTTCAGATCCCAGGAAAGCAAAGACTCAAAACTACAAGTGTGAAGACTGCCAGGAACATTAGCTCATACGGTGTAGAAGCCCAAACAACTCCGATTGTTCCACAAACTTACTCTCAACAGAAAGACTTAAAAAACAATTCATATGATGGCTTTTCCATTCCTACAGAAAACATCACAACGGACATTCACTTTAACTTTCTAAAAAAGTTCAACCCAAACGTCAGGGTTGGTGTTTAAAACTAAAACGGTATATAAAATATTTACCAAACAGTATTTAAACCCCCCTTTCCTTAGCACTTAATAAAACCCGAATGGCCTAATATAGAAAGTTCCCCACAAAACAGTTTAAAAGGCATCGACCCCCATACGTGATTTTTTAGGTTCAGTCAAGATTGTTTTTAAGTTTTATTATAGGCTTTGCTGCTGGATACAAAATAAAGGCATACAACTGTCCCAAGAAGGGCAGTATGTACAAAAGCCTAAGCTGTAAAAACGGTTTCAAAATATAAACTCGTTTTTTGGAATACACTGTGTCAAAGGCTGCCCACCTCAATACCTTTGGTATAAAACAGTAACATTTCCCTTGAAGAGCAGACAAATGCCATCCATTACCTTACACACGTTCACATCTCCTTGTAACTACTCTACCTAGTCTAGTCACGACCAGCCACATCAGTCACCACTCACTCCTGTCCCTTCCCAGGCGCAGAGGAGACTGGGAGGTAGATAACCGAGAACGTCCATCCTACACGAGCACCGTGCGGACAGCTGGGCTCCAGCGCGGGCCCCCCTGCGCCCCACAAGCACACATCCCCAACTACAGTCGCACACGTCCCTTAAACACGAACACAAACACTTAGCTGGACCCCAAAGGAGCTGCACATCCTCTAACTTGGCTCGCTGTGGCCACTCCACACTGTGTAAAAACCAGAGGCAAAGACACAAAGGCGGTCTCGGGGTGATGGCTACGTCTACAGCAAGCGAGCTGCCCCGAGACTGCTGGTGTGAATGGGCTTCCTGCCTGGATGCCAGGCTGGGGGACAGAGGCCGGGCCACGTCCACTTTCTAAGCAAAGGGCAGGGCTTCTACTTGAGACAGGAAGCCCAGCTTAACAGGGAAGAAGGCTGAGGAAGAAAGAATGGAGCACTGGGCGGTGTGTGAGCCCCACCCATAACCAGGAGTTGGTCAGTGGGGCGGGGGACGGCGGGGGGAGGGGTGCAAGTGGAAGGGGCAGGAGGTGAGGAAGGAGCCGGGAAAGGTGCACTCCCTGCCAGGGCCGGCTCTGCCCTTAGGCAGGTATGCGGGGTCCCAACAGGCCTGCCCCTCCAGTAGAGCCGGGCCTCCAGAGCTATGCTCGACCAGTCAGAGGCACGAAGCTCATCGGTCCTATTTTCCATGCCACAAACTGCATGCATCTACCAACAAGCCAGAGGGGCAAGATCCTGGGGCCGAACGGACTTCCGGCAAAGCCCTGGAGATGGCCCGGTCTGACACACAGGAACGCAGCCAGCATGCAGGGCCGGAAGATTATGAAACAAGGAGCTCAGGGAAACCTCTGGTGGCAGCCAACTGCAGGATCCCTGTTGCAGCGGTCAGATGGAACCCTGAAGGAATGCCCCCCCCGCAAAGGCCGAACAGGTAGTCAGCACCCAACAAAATAAATACTGCAAACAAAATTTCTCACGTCTACTTCATACCCATTCATACTTTTCTCCAAGAACCAAGAAAGCCTGGCTCCAAGGATTCTCAGATCCCCACGGAAGGGGGAGACCTTGGACACAGCTTGCTCAAGAACAGGGGTGCATTCACCTGGGGAAAGACAGTCACCTGGTTGAGAAATACCAAAATAATCATCTGGCTTGTTACAAAAAAGTATCTCCAGACTCCAGGGGAAGTGGAAGGTGCCCAGGAGGCTGCAGGCATCGGAGTGAAGAGCAGGGGAGAGGGGAGGAGGGCGGCTCGCCTGCTTGCTCACTGGTGGAGGTGGGCCCGGTCGTCCGGACGCTTGATGTGGATCCGCCGCACGCGCTCGATCCGCTCCCGCTCTCGCTCCTCATCTTCATCCAGGTGATGGGAGCGGCCAGCTGCCCCACCTGTGGCCTCCAGGAGTGCGTTGTCAGGTCCTCGGCCATCCTGGGCCTCGTACAACAAAATATTGAGGGTCTCCTCATAAATCCGGGCCTCTGGGAACTCCACCTGCATCCCCACAACAAAACACAAGGCAGGTAAGTTAGCATCAACCCCCCACCCCCACCCCCCACCTCTGCTGCCACCTACTACTTCTGGGAAGGGCGGAGTTCCTTTGAAGATTGCCATTATTAGTTTTATAGTACCTTTTATTTACAACAGGCAATACTTACACATGGTGCTTACCCAAGAAACAAAAGGTATACAGTGCCTACAAATGTAGGATCATACACCTATATATTCACACACTTCAAAATGCACAAAAGGTGGCCCATCACACACTCATCTGCACCTTTTCCTTTCCCCTAACTTGGGAGATCCTTCCATAGCAGGGAATTACAACAATGTGGCAATGCAATTAACTAACGAGGTCGTTTCCAAAAGGTTTCTACTAACAAGAGATCTATACCCCTGAAGCTGCTCCATAACCCCGAGCAGCCTTTAAAGCAGCCCCATTTTTTTGAACAGGGACCAGCTGAAAAGGACATGTCCCCTCCTGCTTGGTATCCGCTGCTTGCCCTTCGGGGTTAAGGCACTGGGAACTGGAGGGAGGCTGTCCGAGTGGGCCCTGGGCACTTGACTCACAAAGTAGAGACTTTGCTTTCAAAGGCAGGATTCTGAGGTTCCAAGAGAAATGGACGCAGCACACTCTCCACTGTCTTTCCTACTGAGACCACAAAACCAGGAGAGAGAATGCGCAGCGGCTGAGGACTGAGCGACATGAATCGTGGCAGACGGGGCCGGGGGAAAAGACCAGAGTCTGGAATGACACCTAACCAGCAGAGAGTTTCCTGCCCAGAGGTAGGTCAGTGCAGCCTGCACCCCCGGAACAAGCATCAGCAGAGAGAGCCCCAAGGGGGCACCAGCATCTCCCAACACCTAGCGAGTTCCAGGTTTTCCTTTTTTCTTTTCTCCATTCTCTTGCACTCCCACCCCCCCAAAAATCTTGTGGCAGCAAAGGCCGGAGCCCGGGGGAGTCAAAACTCTGAAGGGGAACCTTCCTTTCTGATGAGGAGAGCTGTGGTCCCATCAGGGTGGAGTGAACCCCTGCTGTTGTTCTCTCCCTTCTTCATGCCATTTGGCTCCAGGTACAGGTCAAGTCACGGGCAGTGTGTGGCAGAGCGGGGACCTGAGGCCCCAGCTTTCTGGCCAGATGACAGAAAAGGGGAGCCCCAGGGAAGGAGGAAGCACCGAAAGATGGCAAAGGACGGGTGTCTGGGAAAGCAGCTTCTTGAGGTTGTGCACGAACTCCTGGGCTTGAGCCCAGCTGTCAACCTGTCCCTCAACAGCACACACAGAACTGAGCAAAGGCACAGACCGCTGTCCGGGACACAGACCTGCCCTCAGTGCGGCCCAGATCTGAAGGCTTTGAAACCTGGGCTGTCACTGGCACTGCGACCCACAGCTGGTTGGAACTTGTGGCCCCAACCCAACTGGGTCAACTGCCTGCTAAAACAAAGAAATCAATGTTCTCATTAGGATTTAAACAAGACCTAGAGTCCTGTAACATTCAGAATATCCAGGGTACAATTCAAAAGTTCCTGGCGTGATGAAGAACCAGAAAAATCTCAACTCCTGAGGGAAAACATAATCAAAAGATACCAAGTCCAAGATGACACAAGATGTTGGAATTATCTGACAGAGACTTGAAAACAGCTGTTATAAAAATGTCCCAATAAGGAAGGGCAAACTTTCTTAAAGCAAATGCAAACACAGGAAGTCTCAGCAAGGAGCCAGAACATCGAAGAAAGAAATGAAAACCGTATGACTGAAAAATACAGTAACCAAGGGCAACACAAAAACAAAAACAAAAACCAAAAAACCCCAATTCACTGGCAGCGTTAACAGAATGGAGATGACAGAGGAGAGTCCGGGAACTTGGAAGACACAGCAACAGAAGTGATACAATCTGAACAAGACCAAAAACAGACCAATAAAGGGTGCAGTTCTGTGCTCCATTCTCACCGAGTCCCCGGTGAGTCAGAATCAAGAACCAAATGGACAACATATGTATTACATATCTACTTAAGCCTTACTTTCAGCAAGCCATGCCTTTTCCAGCTTAACCACAGAAGACAGTTAAATGATTAAAAGAATTAGCAGAGCACCTGGAATGTTGTATCAAGAAAGACAGCAATACAAAAACCCCCAGCAGGAACATCCACCCCGTTATTTGAAACAACAAAACACAAGTGTCGGCTCCAAAGCACGGCTCCTGACGGTGTTGGCCAGAAGAAGGCACCTGCTTATGTAAGGGCAGCCATCCCCTGACATGAACCCCTGGAAAGCCAGTCACATGCCTTCCCTGGAGCAAAGAAGGCGGCCTTGGGGACAGGATGGCAGAGCAAAAGGGGCCGTGGCCTGCCAGCTGGGGCCCCATCTCTAGCCAGTTTCAGAAACACAAGCACAGGCTTCCTCTGGAACCTGCGGGCTAACCTACAAATGGCTGGGATCAGACTGTGTCGTCTCTGAATCCTCTACTCCCTGTTAAACTCTGAAAATGTAAAGTAGTATTTTAAAGCTTTAATCAATATGACGATTACCCGGTTAATAACCAAGGACAAAGGCAACCCGTGTATATAACAAAACCAAACTGACAAGACGGGGAAGCTAGTTACAGGTGGAATTCACAGCCATAAAAAAAGCTCACAGGAGAAAAGAGGTGTGCATCTTGCTGATGTGGTAAAGGGAAGCAAGCGATTCTAGTCCCCCTGCAATCTTTGAAAGAAAAAGGAACCTCAGGGTTTTCCCCTTCTTGGCTCTCTTAAACCAATACCTATCTTTTGGGATATATTCTAAATACCAATGATAAAATGTTTTTAAAGTTTAAAAAAAACATGCTAAGAACTCTGGTTTCTACATTGTGGTCTCGTTTTCTCTCATTTGCCTTTTCTTCTGAGGCCAGCTCTAGAATCACAGGGAACTGTGTGTTCCTGGAGCCACAGTGATGATGGCAGCCTGACTGGATGATCTACAGATTCGTGCGTGAAAATCTGCTCAGCAGACCCACTGCATGTCCCTGGTAATCAGGGTCCCTTTAGCAAGGTTCAGAGGGAAGTGACAAAGTGTACCACAGGATTTTTTTTTTTTTTTTAAAGAGGAAGAAAACCGAGTTGCATAGCCCAAGAAGGGCTAAGCAAGCAGAAGACCTGAAGGGACCAGATCTCCAACAGCAGCCTGTGGCATGATCTAGCTTCACAGAATGGCAAAGTGACAGAGGTCAAGCCTGTTGGTTTGGAGAAGATGACAGAGAAGCGCATCCACAGAGTCCAGATCTGTCAGGAAGTTGTGTGCTCAGAAGGAAGCCAACAAGCCTGGGAGCTAAGGAATGCGCAGCAGGCCCGTGAGGGAGGAGGGCCACTCCAGGTCAGTGGGCCAGAGGAGGACAGACAGATGGCAGGAAGTCATAGGTCATGACTAGAAAGCCAAGGTCAAGCTCTTAAAGGTAGCATGGTCCCTCTGATGACTGCGATGCGCTGGGGCCATGCTGGCGGGGGATGGTGGTACATGGAGGCTGAGGGGCAGCACAGGGCCACGTCCCGTCACGGACCGGAAACAAGGCTGCTGGCACGATGACAGCGGTCTGAGGATACACCTGAATGGACTTTTTTCTTTGTAAGGTTTTTTGTTTTTTTTTAAGATTTTATTTATTTATTTAATAGAGAGAGCGAGCACACAAGCAGTGGGAGCACACAAGGCAGGCAGAGGGAGAAGCAGGCTCCCCGCCAAGCAGGGAGCCTGACACAGGGCTCGATCCCAGGACCCTGGGACCACAACCCGAGCCGAAGGCAGACGCCCAACGACTGAGCCACCCAGGTGTCCCTAAGGTTTTGTTTTTAAGTAACCTCTACACCCAATGTGGGGCTCGAACTCAGGACCCAGAGATCAGGAGTTGCACACTCCACCGACAGAGCCAGCCGGGCGCTGCTCTCAATCAGCATTTATGGCAAAGGGACTGAGGTGCGGTAGGACTGTCCCTGTTTGCGAATGGTCAGAAAGGAAATGCCATTCTGCTTCTCCGAGACCTAGATGTGACTCTCCCTGGGGCCCCGAAGATAATGAGTATTTTCATAATGAGCAATCATGCGTCAAGGAAAGCATTTTTAAAGCCTTTCCCTCTTTAGGGTTGTTTTGCTCCAGGGGAAAGGGAAGCGGCACAAGAACGCATTTCAGACCAGCCACCCAGAGCCGCCGTCGGAGCTCTGACCTTGGTCTGTTTCTTCTCAGTGGCATAGACGATGGAGGTGCAGCAGACCTCAGCAATCTTGCGGCCCTGACCGTAAAAGGACCAGCAGCAGATTTCGTCCCCAATGACATCCTTTATGAACAGGACCCTTCCGTTAAAGCGCAGAGACAGCTTATCAAAGAGCTCAATGTTTTTCAACATATTGTCGTCAGAATTGCTGCAAAAGAGCATTTGAGAAGGTGAGTGTCTCCCCCTCCCAGGCTAGGGCGGCCGCTCTGCTGGGCTCTGCCGGGGCCGGGGAGGAATGGGAATGACTCGGGGCCCGTGGGCACAGGCACCAGGTCTGGAGCGTGGAGGGAGCCCCGCGCGCCCCGGCAGTGGCAGAATGCAACTGCCCAGGGGAGACTTTTCAACTTGGGTCCGTTTATGGGTCTTGAGGAACCTCATTAAACCCCCTACAGCTGAGACCACATGGTCCCAAGAGCCAGAAGACATCTAGAAACCTGTATATATTGCTGGTGGGAATGTAAAATGGTGCAGCTGCTTTGGAAAAACAGTTTGGCAGGTCCCCAAATGAATAAACCTAGAGTTACCATTGGACCCAGCAATTCCACTCCTAGGTACCCCCCAAGAGAAAAAAAAAAACCTTGGTCCACATTGAAAATGTGTATATGGATGTTCATAGCAGTATTCACAATAGTCCCAAAGTGGAAACAACCCTGAATGTGCATCCACCAATGAATGGATCAACAAAATGCAATAAAGATCCACATGATGGGACATTATTCAACTATAAAAGGGGATGAGGTATTCACACACATGCCACAAGAATGAACCTTGACAACATGATGCTGAGTCAAAGAAGCCAGTCACAAAAGCAATGTATTATATGATTCCATTTATATGAAGTGTCCAGTCGGCAGAGAGCAGTGTTTGCCAAGGGTCGGGGGGGAGGGGGGGTGCTGGAAGGGAATGAAGAGTGACTGCTAATGGGTTTCTTTTTGAGGTGATGAAAGTGTTCACAAAGCAGGCATGTGATGATGGCTGAACAGCTCTGTAAATCTACTAAAGCCCACTGAATTATATACTTTAAAAGGACAGCCTTTATGGTATGTGTGAATTCAATCTTGTTATCTATAGTCTGTCTCCCTGGGCATCCTCGAGGTGCAGAGGGCCACCCTCACTGAAAGATAACAGGAGGAGCTGGGCCTGGCCTGTGGAAGCGGAAGCTTTCCTAGCTAATACGGGGTGGCTCTTCCCCCGGACACCTTACCTGGTATACGAGTATTTGTTGTTACTTCTGTTGTAGAGCAGCTTCACGGCTGGCTGAGGGTGGTTACAAAAAAGAAAGAAAAGAGTCACTTGGGGTGGAGGTACTGTGGACTGGGGGCTGGGCCCGGCCACCAGGTCAAGGAGGCAGCTGAACACAGCCGTCAGACTGGGGGAAGGGGGTGGGCAGGGGCAGAGAGGGAGACTGCAGGACCCACAGCTGGGGTCCGGGGGGGACACACAAGATGAGCTGCAGGTTCCCATTCTTCATCCCTCCTCAGGCCTTGCTCAGGCACTTCTATAGGTTTCCATTTCAAACCTTATTCATCATTTGGGTAGCTAAAGAAAGGCCACAAGAATGCCTCCAACATACCTTATTTGAAGTCGCTATAAGTTTCTGCTCTTCCTTGGATGAGGTGATGACAGGAACTTTGCAGAAAGGCTCATAAGTATCTTTGTTCTGCTGGAACAAAACATACTTTCAGCCTAGGAGGCCTGCCTAGCATCGGATTATTTCAGCTGGCCTGCAGGGCACAGACAGGGCTCTGGCGAGGGAAGATGGGGCTGCCAGCACTGGGAAGAGAGGAGGATTCTTACCACCAGTGAATCAGGGTGGGGGACGGCCAAGAGTTGAGTTCTCCGTAAGTCTCAATAAATCCTAACAACAATGACACACTTCCACAGCCCAGGGAGTCACTTAAAAATAAAGTCTAAACATGGCACAGGACATATGATTGCATCGAAGCACCCCATTGCAACAACTGTAGAAAGAACTTAAAAAGTATAAGCCTAGAAGGAGAGAAAGAATGGGAGAAGTGACGTCTACAGACAAAAGATGTCAAAAATCTGAAGCTTTTGGGGAAGCAGATGAGGGCTAACGGAGGGGAAAGAGAAGGCCAAAATGAGTAAGCAGATGGGAAATAATCCTGGAGGTTTTCAAAAACAGTTCTGAAGGCTGGTGGGCAGAAGGCAAGAGCAGAGGATTGCTAGCCAGTCAGCAGAAGCACCAGTGAGACACCCTGCTCCCCCAAATGGATCCCCTTCCCCAGGCAGAAGAAAGGTCTACTTTCCTAGAGTGGTTTGTACAGATGAGGACAGGGCTGAGCTGCTCTTCTGAAAATGGGGATTAAGTGAATGGTCCACATACTAAATGGTGAGCCCCAGCTCCCAGCCCCTTCCCCTACTCAGATCCCAGAAGGCAGCCAGCCAGGCTTATCCCCACCAGGCAAGAGAGTGGAGGATCCCTCCATAGGGATCTGATCTGTCCAGGAAAAGGCTTATTATAGATTCTGACACTGGGGGTTCCCACTGAAAGAGCCTTATCATCTACCACTAAAGCCCACTGGACAACAAGCCTCACCCATGCACATACAGCTTTTCAGAACCTTACTCTTGAATTTTAACAGACCAAAGGTCATCAGATTATATGTGGAAAGCCTCTCAACCATGAGACTGAAATCAAAATATAGAGGAAAAGGGAAGGAGTCATGACAAGGGCAGCAGAAAGAAAACTTCAAGACAGAGGAGAGCAGATACTGAATCCTAGGAAACAAGAGCAATGTTCTATATAAAAAAGAACACTCAGAGAACATGAAAAGGCTCTTGGAAATTGGAAATATGATAGCAGAAATGAAAAGTTCAAAAGAAGGGCTGAGAAGATAAAACTGAAGAAAATCTCTGAGAAAGAACAGGAAGATAAAAGCAACAGAAACTGAGAAGAGGTCAGTCCTGAAGGTTCAATCTTAAGACTAAGAGAAACCATAGGAAGGGAACCCAGAGAGCTCGTCTCTAAGACAAAGAAGAAACAGATATTTACTGGTGTGTCTGAACACACCAATAGGAGATTGAACTTTCTTACCATTTAGGGATGAATTATGGATATGCACTTACAAAACCAAGCAGACAAAACAATGAGGCAATCACTAACTCTGGAAAACTGAAAAGTTGCACAATAAAGAAAATTTTCACTGTATACTCTGTGACTCAACTGTTAACAATACTTAGACATCACAATGTAAACTCTGAATACTGATTTAACCAAAGCTGTGATAAACACTGTATTGGGAAAAGAGGAGAAGGAACATGTGTACATGTTTGGTAGTGGTTGGGGGGGGTGTAACGGTAGTGCATGAGCTAAATATTAATTTTCTATACACTAGTACATAATGTTGAAAACTGAAATATCAATAAATAGCAGTATAAGAAATATGAAAGCAAATAGAACTGTTGAAAGAATTAACAGAGGAGGGGCGCCTGGACGCCTCAGTAAAGTGTCCAACTCTTGATTTTGATTTTTTTTTTTTAAACATTTTATTTATTTGACAGACAGCAATTGTGGCACAAGCAGGGAGAGCAGCAGGGAGAGGGAGAAGCAGGCTCCCCACAGAGCAGGAAACCCAATGTAGGGCTCAATCCCAGGACCCTAGGATGATGACCTGAGCCAAAGGCAGATGCTTAACGACTGAGCCACCCAGGCGCCCCTTGATTTCAATTCAGATCATGATCTCAGGGTGGTGAGATCGAGCCCCATATCGGGCTCTGCACTGGGCATGGAGTCTGCTTGAGATTCTCCCTCTTTCACCCATCCCCCTCAAATAAATAAATAAATAAAATCTTTAAAAAAAAGAATAAACAGAGCAAAAAAGTATGATGTATATACATTAACAAACAAAAATGAAATAAAAATACTAAAGTAAAGGCTATAGCATTCAGTTAGATTTACAATGGGTTCAGACTCTTGCGGTAGAGGTGGTATGTGGAAACAACAGTTTCTCAAGGAGCTAGGCAGTAAGGGTACTGCTCCACTGGAGGGACAGACAGACATGTGGCCTGAGGGAGGCACAAACAAGAGCCTCATATATACAGATCCAATTCCTATGAAAACCTAAAGGGACTCTTAATGATTCTCTGCCATGTTGGAACTTTGCTTGAAATAAATGGCCACTGGCTATGTCCAGAAGCATTTTGGTTTTATAGGGATTTTGCTATCACCAAACTTGACCCCAGTGGTCCTGCCCTAGGTCCAGCTGAGGAGTGAGGGGTGTCTGAGTCTGCAGAGATTATAGAGGCTCCCAACAATGACTGGTGGGGTGAGAATAAGTCCTGAGATGCATCCAGAAAACCGACTCCCCACACTGAAGGGTTTCAGTGTACTTATGAAATGACCCAACACCATGGCAACTGAAAGCCAGAGGGTAGTTAGGTGGCATAAGCAATACAGGGAAGCCTCTAAGGGGTCACTGACCAAAGGAGAGAGAAGCTCCAGGGTTACTTGTGAACTCGCACATCTCAGTGAGGAAGGAACTGCCCCCATTTTGTAGAAGAGGAAAATGAAGAAAGCAGGTTGCCTGGTACCTCCCCACTCATATGGGGAAAAACGGTGATACCTACTTGTAAGGCTGCCTGGCATTCTTCCACCAGGCCCTGGACCAGATAGTACTTGGCTTCCGCCAGCAGCTCCTCAATCTCCCGGCGGCTCTCGGGCAAGGGGACTGCCCCGTCACGGAGGTAGTTGAGTATCGTACCGAAGTGTTTCCCACACCGGTCAATAAGGATCCAGCCTGCAATGGGAGGAGGAGAAGGGGGGCCTAGTTACATGGGCACTCATCTCCTAGAAAGTGCTGAAGACAAATGGGGTATCTCTTGGCTCCCTCTACCTCCAGGGGAAGAGCAGGGCCACAGAGGGGGCAGCAGCCCCACCTGCCTAGCTATGAGCAAAGGGCTAAGCCCTGCCTGGGAAAGCACTGCAACAATCTCCAGGCCCTGCTGGCTGGGGACAACCACAACCACAACCATGGACTCATGTGGTCTCAGCCTCTTTTGGACGCCAGGACCTCTGAAGCCTAAAAGCATGTTTCTAAAGTGTCCTCAAAAATCCCTTAGCCATCCCGAGAGCGCACTATACCTGGATAAAATGGGTCCAAACGACCACACCCCAACAACAGGGGAAAAGCTGGAGGTAAAAGTATCTACTCTCCCTCTTTCCACGATGCTTTTTTCAGATTTCCACATAACAGAGCCATTTCTAAGGAAGAAGACTGCAACCTCTGGCTCCCAAAAGGGATCCCCGACACTCACCACTACCACCTCGGGATGTTCCTTCCTTCACTTCCCCAAAAAAGCACTTACTGGCTAGTGACGATGACGAGAGAGAAGATGGTGAACCAGACAGACCTTGCCTCAGACAGTTCAGTCTAGCATGGGGAGATGGAACTTGCTTTCATGAACTATGGGAAAATGTGCCAACTGCTGACCAGAACCAGGCCCAGCGAGACACTCTTGGGGGTGGGGGCCAGGAAGGCAAGCCCTTGAGCTTGATGACCTCTCCAATGTGGGGACTGGCCTGCTATACCCCCACTAGGGATCCCCAGGTTTTCACAATTCCTCTTCAGAAATGGAAATATCTGGGTGGGGGGTGGTCTGTTACTTGCAGGAGGAAACAATGCTGAAGCCTGGGAAGTGGAGGGACCGAAAGGAGAGGTAGGGATGAAGCAAAGACCTGGTATGTCTTGACAGAGGACAGGAGGCTCTAGAAAGATGTCGGGTTGTAGAGAAGTCCCCCCCTCTCCCAGGCCAGCAGGGCAACCCCAGCAAGGGGCTTCCCCAGGTCTCCTATCCCCCATTACAAGGTGAGAGGACACCAAGGCAGAGGGCAGTTAAGTTTAAACAGGAATCCGTAATTTTATGCCTCACTTTCCTCAACGGTTGCTCAGTTTGGGAGAAGGGGCCCACACTTCCACTCCTAACACCATGTCACCCTGCCCCAAGTCCTCCGCAGACCCCCAGGCCCTGCCTTAGACACAAAAGCCAAGAGCAGCAAAGACACCTCTTCCATATCCAGAGTCACAAGTCCACCCACCGCCCCCTTCCCAAATCCAGCCCTGCCAAGTATGCTCTCAGAGTTAGAGGGCACTATATTTATTTGGTATGTGCAACAATCCCTAGGAGAGTTTGGTAAGAAGGCCGCTTCCATACTCCCGTCCTACGAACTCCTCAGCCCAGGGCTCCTGGACCTTTGCTTAAAGGTCTGGTCTTGTCCCTCCAGAGGCTTTCGCTTGGTACTTCCCCACTGCTACGGTTTCCTGAATACAGTGGAAGAGTAATTCCCAGTGTGGCAAACACAATGCAAACGTGTGGCCTGGAGTCAAATCCCGGTTTCAAGGAAGGAAGAGGCCTTCACAGGCGTGGTAAATCACATCACCCTGACAGTGACTGCTGGACCTCATCCCACTGCTTCTTTCTACGTTGAGACAATAAAGTATGGACACAGTGTCTGCCCTGCAGCTCAGATGCCTACAGGGGCCTGCAGCAAGCAGCATAAATGAGTGTATGGGGCCTGGGCCCGGAAGCTGACCAGAAAGCACGTGCCCTGCCCCCTGGGGACAGGAGATGGGGAGGCTCTTCTCACTCCAGCCAAGAACAGCTAGGCAGGAATGTGGGCTTAGGGCTGTATGAGCCTCTGATATCCCAAGAGATGCCAGAAATGCAGGTTTCTCTGTGAAACCTCGAGCAAAGAAAACCTATCTGCAGGCCACCTGCAGGCTAGCATTTTGTGAGCTCTCTGCTACCCTGGATCAAGTGCTTTCCTGCCAATGAGCGGACAAGGTGTGGAAGGACCATATTATCTTCCCAACAGTTCTTTCGGAAGGAAGCTAAGTCTCCTGCACTGTCCACAGATGACAACAGAGCCTCAGAGAGGTTTAGGGATGTTCCCAAGTCAGGGAGGCAGAACTAGACCACAAAAAGCAAGGAAGAAACTCACAGGAAAGCTCCTTCCACCAGAACTGAGAAGACGAGTAGAGCCTCAGTCTTCAAAGCAATGGCAAACCCATTTAGCTCAGCAACTCTGGGAAGAAAATGTCCATGTTCTGCTTTTGATGCATGGACAACTTAGCTGCTCAGAACGAGCAGGGGCCTCTGAAATCAATTATCCAAGTGACAGTCCAGAGTTTCCATAAACGAAAAGGCAGACCGTGACATTGGGCTCCAGCTCAAGAATGTCGTCAGGAAATGCTTGTGGTGAAGGAATCATACTTTGGACAAATAAGGGCAAAGGAACCGGGCGTGCTCGCCATGAGGTTTCAATTAGCATTTTGATTTTAGAATATTTTAGTTGCTTTTGAAGCCGGAATCTACCCCTTTGAAACAGCTCAAATGCCTCGCATGTAGAAAGGCAAATGGAAGTCAAGCAGCGCCTTGCTTGTGGGGAGTCTGTCCAGCTGCTGTGGAGCATGCAGGCTATTTCAGAAGGCTGCACCGGTCAGGGCGGCCGGTGGCCCATCCCGCAAGCCTGCGGAGCAGAACCGGCAGGCACAGACCGGGAGGCTCTGGAATGGTTTGGGAGACGCAACACAGCCCAGTGGTTAAGAGCAAGGGCCTGTGTTGGAAATCCAGTTCTGTTGCCTACTTGCTGAATGACATGGGTGTTGCACCAAACCTCCCTGTCCACCAGTCTCCGAGTACCCCTCAGGGCTGGTACAAAGGCACGACGAGAGAAAACATGGGCAAACACACAGCACAGTGCGGATTTTACTGGATGAGGTCTGTGACAGTGAGCCCTTCCCACATCTCTTCATCCTCGCCGGAGAAAAGAGCATCAGCACTGTCCAGCGGGGGCACATTCCAGTCCTTAGGAGAGTCCCAGTGGCTTTCAGGGTACCCTGGAGAAGGCTTCTCTCAGGGACCGGGGACTGGGTGACAAGGCTTAACCCCCTCCCAGCCCCGCCAGCATGCCATGCACTTCTCCTCTCTCCTTTCACTGCCCCCACCTCCAGGGATGGGGTGGCAGGGGGAGGGGAGGGGGACACAGGGGCAGGAGGCCTTCACTGACCTCTCCTTAGCATCCTAAGGTTTTGTTTTTTTTTAAGATTTTATTTATTTGAGAAAGAGAGCACATGAGAGGCGGGAGGGTCAGAGGGAGAAGCAGACTCCCTGCCGAGCAGGGAGCCCGATGCGGGACTCGATCCCAGGACTCCAGGATTATGACCTGAGCCGAAGGCAGTTGCTTAACCAACTGAGCCACCCAGGCGCCCCAGCATCCTAAGGTTTTTATACTCTATTTCTGTGTTTCCCAAACTTGCCTGTTTATAAGTCACCTGAGGTACTCGTTACAAATTCAGATTCCAGGAAGCTGCCTCATTCCCGAATCAGAATCTCTGGGGCAGGGCTTCTCAGCCTCAGCACTACTGATATTTTGGACTGGATAATTCTTTGTTATGGAGGGACTGTCCTGTGCATTGTGGGGTATTGAGCAGCATCCCTGGCCACTACCTACTAGGTGCCAAGAGCATTCCCACCCCCAAACTGTGACAATCAGTAACATCTCTGGACATTGCCCAATGTCCCCTGGAGGTCAAAATCATCCCTGGTTGAGCATCAGTTAGGTAACTGAAGATCTAAATGTAAAAAAAAAAAAAAAAACCAACATAAAAACCTTGAGGTATCAAAAAAACACCATTAAAAAAGCTGTAACAAGTCACATTGGAAGAAAACATTTACAATATAAAATCACAAAGAAATGGATCCAGAATACTTTTATAAAGCAATAAGAAAAAAAAAACAAAACAGGAAAATGTGTAAATAAGATGTAATCAGGCAGCTAAACAATGAAACACAAATGACAAAAAGATGCTCAACGTGCTAGAAATTAGGAAATGTTAAATAAAACCAGAGTATCAGATTAGCAATAATTAAGAGGTTTGTGCCCAGTGTTGGCACAAATTCGGACCGTGGGGAGTGTAAGTCGGCACAACAGCTAATACCAACCAAGCCATGGATGCTAGCCCGGATGCCCCTCCCAGGAATCAACTCCAGGACAGACCTCCAGGTGGTGGGTAAGATCTCAGCGCTGCAGCCCCTGAGGTGGCTGGGTCCACGGCCTTTTCATTTACCAAAACAGAAATATGACTTTCTGTGTGTGCCATGATGTGGCAAAGGTTGGGAAGCTCTGCCCTAGAGATGCTCACACATGCCACAGAATGTTCAGGAAAGGTAATATTCCAAATGGTTAACACTGGAAGCAATTTAAACAAACCCTCACCACAATATGGATCCATAAACAACAGTATATTCCCCAAATGGAAAACCAGCATGAATGTTTGAGCTAGAGCTATATATTATTCATGGCTCTATCTAACAAGCATTATGCAAAGAAAGCAAAGAGACCATAGACAATGTAACACCGTCTATATAACATCGGAAAACACACCAACAATACATTGTTTAGGGACAGAAACAGTATAGCATAATTACTGATTCACATCAGTGTTTTTCACCACTGGATGCATATTAGAATCCCCTGCAAAGCTCCTCAAAGTGCTAACACCCAGTGCATCTAGCTGCGCGGGGCGGGGGGGTGGGGGGGCGGGGGGCAGGGGCGGAGAACCCAGGCATGAGGCATTAGCAAGAGAGCAGCTGAGTCACTGTGCTACGGAGGCTGAAATTCACCTAGTGACCCCAAGTCAGGCAAGTGGTTATCTCTGGAAGGGAGAGACGCAAATAAAGAAAGTAAAGAGAGGTCCCATCAGCCTAGGTAACATTTGTCTGAGTGGGGGTGATGTGGAAAACAAAGGCAAAAGAAATGTAGAAAAAACTACATCTCCTTACAACTTACAGCTCACTGACTAACACTTGGGACAGGCAGAGTGACCTTCCTCCAGGAACTCAACTGCTGCTATGTTAATACTTTGCTAGGGACAAAAAGCAACCTTAGTTTGGTAGTAGCCTGATCTCCCGGATCCTGGAAATCTTCTTTAACGTATAAAAATCCCTTTGTAAAGTTCCTTTATCTCTACCTGCCCCAAATATATGTTGGCAATCATCCTCCAAACATACGGCCCACTGAAATACATCTGAAAGGTCTCATGACTAAGGGTTTACTAGACAGTATTGTAAATGACCTTATCCTAACCACATCTAGCCCCTCAAGGTCCTGGAAACCTTACTTCCAAATTCCTTCGAGACTTACGCTATCCCTAACCCTCTCCCAACTTCAAAGTACATAACCAGCCACTCCTCGTGACCTCAGTGCAGCTCTTTCTGCCCACGGGTCCTGTCCCCAACCCCGTGCTTTAATAAAAACCATCTTTTTTGCACCAAAGATGCCTCAAGAATTCCTTTCTGACCATTCACTCCCCGGCCCCAACATTTCACATCAGGGGCACGAGGGAGTTTGTTTTATTAATCACATTTTAAAAGCTCTCAATGTATTCACAGTTTTATAGAAGAGTGCATTCTAATTTAAGCAGGAGGCATGGAGATCTCAGGGAAACCACCGGGTACTACGGTTTTCCCACGGACTACATGGATTTCCCCACTGGTTTTCAAGGGAATGTGTGCTGATAATAAGATTAATGATTCCCTTCTTTAATCTGGTTCACATACTCCCTCGTTCCAGAAACATTAGCAAGAGACCAGAAACCACTGGGAAGGGGGCGTGGGGAGGTGGACCACTGTACTACGGAACAGGGTTATGAAACAGGCAACTATAGGTGAGTACGGAGGCAGAACTCTTGTTGGGAAAGGTGCCACATCCCTCCATGCTGACAAGGAATCAGGTAAAAATGCCAGTACTGGAAGAACCACACCTTTCTGGGGAGGAGTCTGGGAAAGGCCTTCTTAAGAAAAGCCATCCTTTGGGGGTAAGGTAGAACTGCAGAGCGCTCACCCCCAAGGCCAAACGCGGGCCACTTCTCCCCCTGCCCGCCCCCCCCCGGCCCTAAGACCTGCTTCTCCAGCCCCTCACAGCGCTCCTCCCTCCACCTGGACATACCCCACTGAGGCAGGCCCCACAGACTGAGTCTCCCACTTAATCCCGTAACAACCCTGAAAAGCATTACCATTCGCAACTTGGAAAAGTGGACACAAGCTCAGAGAAAGTCACCCGCCCCGTCCCATTACCAGTAAATGACAAATGAGTCTAAATCAGCCCAGTGCCACATACACAGCAGCAGCTCCATCGACATGAGCTGTGACTGTTACCCTGGGCCGGAGCCAGGGACCAAGCCCACTGACTGCAAACCTCCCTGTTTAGGAACTACACACACACACACACACACACACACACACAGTACAAATCGTCAACAGAGAAGGGCATGGAGCGCTAGGGAGAGTCCACCACCCACTCTGGGCCCCAGGTCCTCTCCCCAGAAGCAACCGGTTTCTCAGGCATCCTTCAAGGGTGTCTAGCAGCTCAGTACATCACTGTTCTGTGCCCTTGGAGCCCCCATTCCTCAGCCAGCAGGACACACTGCTGCAATCACTCGCCTCACAGAGCTGCACTTGCGGTTTTGGCCTGTTTATGGCAAACCTCACTGTAGGCGACAGGCTTCCTGCCTGAAGCCCAGGGTGCAGCTGTGAGATGCAGGACATTTGAGATGTGGGACATTTAGGTTAATTTGTAGACCCAAGGGTGTATCTGGGCCAACACTCAGGCCACTGGTCAGGCTGTGCAGTGTACTCACCAGGGGCCAATAGGATCACGATCGCACTGCCTGGCACAGGGTGGGCTGGAAGACCAGACACAGAGCTGGCGGCTGACCCATAAGGCTGCGGAGCTCAGGCAACCTGGCCTGGGGGCTGGGCCCTTGGTGAAGTGAACTAAGACGAACAGAGTAAGAGCCAGCAAGCCCTGAGCTCAGTGGCTTTTTTTTTTTTTTTTAAAGCCCCATAGCTTTTGAAAAGGATTTCTCACTTATTGCAAGGTAGCAACAGTACCACCCCAGAAGGGTTAAGACAAGAAGGAAAAACACCAATATGTCACCCGGTGAGCTTTCCAAGACAGGCGGAGGGCTGGAGCTCGAGCTTTAGTGGAGCCCTGTGAAAATGGCCAGGCCCGGTGTGCCAAAGACAACCCTGTGTCCCTGGAGGCACTGGGGTGTCCAGGAAGCACTGGGGACAGGACAGCCTCCGGCAACTGTCCACAAGCCCGAGCAGGAGCCCTGGTAGCATCCACGCGTCTCTCCCGCTGGGGGGATGGACCAGCCTGAGGACCGGCTCTTCCTCGGCGTGGCATGAGGCCAGCAAGGCGAGGGCTTTCAAGGAGATGAGGCTCCAACTTCACTTCCAAAGCGACTCCGCCGCTTTTCCTGAGCCCCACCAGAGACTGGGTAGGGCGGAAGAAAAGCTACAACAATCCTGGGTTCTCAGATAAGGTCCGTTTCCTTCTGCAGCTGGGGCGCTATTGTCTTAGCCTCTACAAATACTCCCCAGGCGATGCTGGGTGTGGCCCAGAGGAGGGGATCCTCCCACTCATAAAAAGCTCTGTGCTTTCTGGGTGAGACACAGAAGGAAGCTCTGGGGCTCAAACCTCATTTACCTGATGCTTGGCCAGAAACCCGAGTTTCCCAGGAAGCCCAGGGAAGCAGAACCTCAAGCCCCACAGCCCAGCCTTCTCCAGGACACTGAGGGAAACATCCTAACTAGCACACAGCTCAAGCTTCGGGTCCCCAATCCCCCCTACTTGTATCAAAACTCGCCCACCTTTCCCAGGAACCAAAGTCCCAGGGAAGGCAGGGGCATTAGCACAGCCACCAATCTCAGAAACAGGTAAGGCAGGGTGCAGCCAAGCTATGGTCTGGCCGGGTCTTAAGCAATCTCAGGCCAAAGAGGGAAAGATGGTGCCATTCTTAAACCTCATGTGACCTGCCCTGTAAACCCAGCCAGGCAAGAACGTCCCCCTTGCCAAGTGCTCTTGGATTGTTCCAGTTGGGGAGTAAGATCACTTTAAAGAATTCTTTGCCTTTCATGAACATGACCTTCCGTGAAGAAAAAGGAAAGAAAAACATGCCCTGAATATGCGTGTACTGAATACTACGCACCAAGAGCCCCACGATGTGGGTACCACTGGACCCGTTTCACCTGGCTAGGATCACCAGCTACTACACAGGAAGCTGTGACTCAAGTCCAGGTCTGTGAGTCTCTGTCAGGCCCCCATCCCGGGAGGACGAGGGTCCAGAGAAAACATTCATGCCTCTCTCTCGCTCGGGTTTCACTCTGAAGTCACAGAATCATCACTGAGACCTGGCAGGGGCCCAACCAGGGCAGCCGGTCCAGCCACCATTTCACAGGCCTGAGGCCTGGACCTTCTCCAAGTCACTCAGCAAGCGGACAACTGAGTCAAGACTATGAGCCCCCGCCCAGGTGACTCCACCTCCTCTTCACATCTCGGCTCATCTGTCACTTCCTCACGGAAGCACTCCTTTACTTTACAACACCCCTCCCCGACTAGATCTGCTCTCCCGGGGACGCGCTCTCGAGGCTCCCCCCACACTGAGGTAACACACACTGGAAACGGGCACCTGTGTGGACAACTGCCCATGTGCCGTTGGCCTCCTGAACTAGAGTGAAGCCCCCAGCCACAAGCACAGCCCCAGAACCCGAGGGGGGCTTACCTTCGCTGTCAGTGAGCACTTCCATGCGCCCGCTGAACATGGCTTTCAGCATGGTGTCCTGCTTGGTCAGCGTCTGCATGGTGGTGTAGTAGAGGGCTCCGCCCACATTCAGCTTCACGTACTTGGAGCTGGGGCTCGTGCCCTTGAAGGAAGTGGTGCGGGTAGCAGCCGCTGGCACCGCTGAGCTCACCACACTTTCTCCTGACATCTCTTCCTGCCAGTGAACACGTGGAGAAGACACAGGGTCACCAGAGTCACGGAACCAGGCCTGCTTTACCTTGGTCAGCCTCTGGGCTGAATCGGGCCTCCAGAGGTGTTTTGCTTGGCCCAAGTCTATACTGCATTTAAATCTCCCAAGGCTGACAACTCAGGAGAGATCACCAAAAAAACCCTGGATTTCTGGCTTCTCTTAAAATCAAAGGCCAACTGGGCCACCAGTTGGCCTCACAACTGGTGGGAGCTGGGGTACTGGCTGCCCCAAGCCCCACCCAGACAGCCTCATATACTGACCTCACCTGCTGGCCCAAGTCTATACTGCATTTAAATCTCCCAAGGCTGACAACTCACCTACTGACCCTATGGGCCCAAGTTTACCACTGACTCTTATGTCCTGAGGACTTCCTTTCTGCCTGGTCCCCACATAAGCCAACACCCTGGATGCATCCTAAAGCAGCTCAAAGCACTGCCCGGGTCTCTCTCTGTTTTATTGTCACGCACCACTCAACAGCTGAACTGCAGATGAAATAGCAAGATTTTTTTTTTTTTTAAAGATTTTATTTATTTGACAGAGAGACACACAGCGAGAGAGGGAACGCAAGCGGGGGGGGAGGGGGGCGGACAGGGAGAAGCAGGCTTCCCGTGGAGCAGGGAGCCCGATGCGGGGCTCGATCCCAGGACCCTGGGACCATGACCTGAGCCAAAGGCAGACGCTTAACGACTGAGCCACCCAGGCACCCCAGATGAAATAAGCTTTTATGAATCGAGTAGGATCCCAACTACCACTCCTAATCCTTCCTGGGGGGTGGGGGGGGAGTGTTTCTCAGGACTACACGACAGACATTAAAAACCCCTGGAAGCAAGTTAGTGAAAAATTAGAGACTTCCTGTACTAGCGCCGCCCTGAACAGCAAGATCTGATGACAGTCTCCTTAATGGCACAGCCAGTTCGTGTCCGTCTCAGAGAAATGGATATACCGTCCGATTTAAGTAGTCCTACAAAAGGAGACTGGTACCTGGCAGACGTGTACTCAACGAGAACATTTCTTTGACATGTTTCTTTGACACATTTCTTCTTTGGAGAAGATGTCCAAGAGCGGGCTGAATCTTTATGACTGTGGGGCACAGCACAGAGGAAGCAGCCCCTGACAGCCAGACCTGGCCCAGCACTCATCTCTGGGCCTTGATGTTTCCACAAAACATGAACGATTCATATAGCACGTCACCATCTGACAAGGCCACTCAGTGGCTGATGGGTCAAGACACAAACAAGACTACTCCATAATTATGTCTGAACACAGACAAAAACAAGACCATTGCCCAAAACAGAAAAAGTGACCAAACATCACCATATCCTGACCAATGTGACTCAATGCTGCTTCTTTACCAATTAGAGCTTTAGCCCCATTCCATTCTTCCCCACCTTCAACACAGGAATTACTGAGACCCCATCCAAGAATTAACCCTCTTTCCTGACAGCATTCAGTACAGAGCAAAGCCTCACTTCCCTGAATTCTTCCCCCAAACCACCCAAGACAAGCCCCAATCCTCTTTCTGAGATGCTCCGTGGTTCTCCCTCATTGCCACAAGGAAATAAACCCCGCTTTGACAACAGGTATGCTCGGGGGGGGGGGGGTTGAAAGCGCAAAGCTTTAAAAAATGATACCCTGATCCTGAAAAAGGATTGTTTTTTTAAGTTTTTTATGCCTTTCTATCTTTTCCGGATCTCCCACAATTAACGTGTATTACATTCATAATGGGAAAAACACAACTGTTATTTTTCAATGGGAGAAGGGGCTAATGATGAGTGGCAACCTGCTGTCCAGTGATCCGGAATAGCAGAGGCAAGGGCCAACCCTCTCGACCTCCAACCACCCAAAAGAGCGGCCTGGAAATCAACCACTGGGGGGCTCCTTTTGGGGCCTGCAGGATGGCACAGGAAGAATGGTCTCCTGGAAAGAAAAGTGTTTTCTCAAGAAAGTGTTCTTGCTTCATCAAGTGAATATATCCCAAGAAGGTACTCAAAAGCTCAAGCTTAACTCACCTGGGGTCTCTATGGCCTAACGCCACAAATAAAAGAGGTAGAGAGAAAGCAGTGACCCCTCCCTTCCAGCTTTCCTTTGAAATCAGTCCCCAGAAACCCTACACTAAAGGTTATCACCAACAGTTCGCCCCAGAAATACTCATTCATGGGATGATAGAGGTAGCTTGGGAGAAGAAACAGTTTTTCAAAACTTTGAAGACCTAGGGCACAGGAGGAGGGTGAAGGCCTACAGGTGTGGAGTTGTGGGGTTTTTCAGTTGGGGAAAATTGCTCCAAAATGGAAATTTTTAAAGCACCCTTTCAGATCTAAATTTACACAAAAATACGTGTTTTGGGAAATGGTCTAGTGTTTTGTAAGGCGCCTATGAAACAAAAAATCATAAACTATACTTCAATGTACTTTTACTTTCCAATACCTTTTTAAAAATAATTTGCCTACAGTAAAGTATATTTTAAGTGCGCAGTTTGAGGAGTTTTGGCCAGCATATGCATCTGTGCAGCCACCACTCTGATCAAAATAGAGAACACTTTCATGGTTCCAGAAAGCCCCTCTGTGCTCCGCCCCCCCCCCAGAAGATACCAGTTTTCATCTCTACCACCACATACAACATTTAAAATCCAAACAATGCTGGAACACAGCTACTGTTATTTCCAGCTAGTCGATTCGGATAGCGTGGCCCAGAGAAGTTCAGTCACTTCCCAAAATGGACTGATACTGGAGGTGGGTCAGTGACAGAGCAACAGGGGCAAGTCCTGTCTGGCTTTGAGCCCATGATTTTATCAACATTCATGCTTGAAATACATAGAGCTGGAACATATACATGGAGAAAGGAGTGCCCCACCCTCCCTTCTTTATCAAGTACTAAAAAAGCTTTGAAAAAAGATGGGAGGCAATGTGTGGCTAAGTGCTTGGGTTTGGAAGTCAGACCTGAATTTAAGCGCCCAGGCCTGCCATTGATTGACCAGTTGTGGGAGCCTGGGCGAGTCATCTGAGTCTTGTCCCGTCTATGAAACAGGGACAACAGCAGTGTCTCCCTCCCAGGACTGCTGTGAGGGATGCCACAGAGCACTCAGCTCAGCCTCCGGCTCAGAGCACACACCCAACACGAAAGACTCACACGATGATTATTTGAGAATGCTCTCAAAGACTCAAATTATCTTCTCTCTGAAGACCATTTCCATCTCTACCAACATCCACCCAAATCACTAAGAGATAAAGGCAGAAACCATCCGGATGCATCTAGCTTGAGACTCCGGAATAGACAAAGAAAGCTCTGAACCTTTCTGGAGCCCACCCTTCCAAAGGTCAGTCACCTCAATACTGGGAATGGCCCTTGGATAAAAGGTTCTGACTGTTCATGTCCCTGAGCCCGCATGACACTGAGCTAAGGACACAAAACAGCAGACAATAAGCCTCTCCCAGCATATCTCTCCACAGAAGACTCCCCAGCCATTGCTACTGGGATCCTGCTTTTTCACTTGTTTCAAAGATTTGATTTCATCATTAATGAGGTTGGGGAGGTGGGGCAGGAAACAGCAAAACTGGTTACAAGAAACAAAGACGGAATTGATACTTGAGGTATTGGTTACCAATTCTATTCAATCAGAAAAGTTTAATCCAGTTAGATCTCTCCGGAGTATCCTGTTGCAGATTCTAAACAGTGGCTCTCCACTTAAAAAAAAATTACTGACATCAGGGTCCTATCCGTGTAAATTCTGATGTTAACTGGTCTGGGGGTATGGTCTGGGCAACAGAAGTTTTTTAAAACTCCCCTAGGTGATTCCAACGTGCAGCCGAGATTGCAACCCACCGCTCTAAACAGTTCTGTACGCCTACTAACTTCATCATCTTGGAGAAGTTGCCCAACCTCTTGTTCTATTGGCCCAGTGAATTCCTGATCACACATAAAAATAAACCAAAGCATCATAAACAAAAGCCAGCCCCCATCTCACAGCTTCAGAGCCACAGACAGGAAGCAACTGTATACATACTCAAAAAATAAAAATCAGCCCAAGGAGGAAAAGTGTTGACTTGAAAAGAGGCTTGGGCAAGTACAATAGGAGAAAAAGGCACCAAATCCCTCACTGTTGGATGTTTTCTACAGAGCTGTGGAACTGTCTCTCTCTTGTGTGTTGGGGGGAGATGTGCATGTGGAAGGTTCGATCAAAAGTCTGAGCAACCTAGACTAGTCGCAGTTCCACCATTTCCTGTGTGAGGTTCCGACAAGTGCTTTAACTGAGTCTCAGCTTCCTACCTTGTAAAGTGAAGGTAAAGCCATAATCTTCATAATAAGCTTCAGGGAATGAATGTTAAAGTACTTGGCACCTGGCCCTAAAGTCCCTCAAACTTAAAGACCAGAGGTCCCAGTGCAGGCTGTACTACAATCACCTGGGTGCACTTAAAAGCAGATGCCTGGGCTTCACCTCAGGCCAATTAATCAGAATTCAGGGCAGGGGTGGGGGAAGCTCAGCAGTATTTAAAAAGCTCTTCAGATGATCTAAGGTGCAGCCCCAGCTAAGAGCCACAGAGCTAAGCTGTTTCTTTAACCAGCTTGATCTAAGAGTCACTGCCTTTTGGCTAATTATAAAACTTGCCCAAACTAAGGGCATTTCTACAACTCAGGAAAGTCGGCTACTCCATTTCAAACAAACCGCATTACATCAGCCATGTAACTGTAGTAGTATTTTGCATCCCAAACTTGCTCACAAGGCAGCTACTGCTATTTCCAAGTGTTCTGCTAAATTACTTGCTGTCCCTCTGTGTAACCTGCAAACTATTGGCCTCTTTCCCCCAGGGGTCCAGTGAAGATGTCATCATCAATCCCACTTTTTAGGGGAGAAAACTGAAGAATCAGAACTATAAGGGTCTTCTGACTCAGGCCCCTTTCATTACAAAACCCAAATCAAGAAATCAATCTCCCACAGGGCGTGTTAAAACAGATTGAGGGGCCCGACCCCCGGATGAATTCAGTAGTCAGTGGTAGGGCTTGAAAATGTGGCCACTTCTAACAAGTTCCCAGGTGATGCTGCTGCTACTGCTGGTCTGGGGACCAGTTTGAGAACCACACTGGTTTAATGTCTCCTTCCCCTCAGGTGGTCCTGATTTTGCATAAAATGGAGCAAAGTCAGATACAGGTTGGCTAAATTTTCTTCAGCGGGGTCCTTGAAACTCATCTTCTCTAAAGACTGCATTTTCCAGGAAAGACACAAGGCAAAGAAGTACAAGAGCAAGGCTGAACTTTGGTCGTTCCCACCCAGGGCCAAAGAGCCATTTAAGGTATAGACCCTTAAAGGATCACAAGCAAACAGAACCATTCCCACAGCTGTGTGACAGCATGTGACCCATTCCCAGCTCCTTAGGTGTGGCCCTTCGGGCTCCAACGGAAGTGACTAGATAGGTACCAAAGCGCCAGTTAAAGGCGCTGGACTCCGTGGGGTGAAGGTACCCTGACCTCAGGCCCCCGGCATCCTTCTAGGCACCGGATGCACATCTGCCCTCCAGCTCCCTATATTTCTCCCCCCCGCCCCCTCCACTCGCCCTTACGTTTAGAAGCACCTGGAAGTCCCTTCTCCACTTCCCCGAAACCCAGAGACTGCAGTCACAACTCCAGAAAACCCCAAACGCTCCGCCCCAAGGAATTCCACGTCGCTCTTTCATAACCTAACCGTTTTCTTTCGCAACACCCTCCCATCTTCACTTTCCACCCCAATGTCCATCTTCGACGACCCCTCTTTGTTCTCTTCACAACCAATCCCATTTCCAATGAGCACTCAAGACTCAGAGACACCCCCCCGACTCACCCCCACACAAATCTACTCCCTCAAGCCCAAATGCTCTTTCCCGATCCCCAACAGCCAAGGACCCCCCCTCCCAATTATCCACCGAAGCCCTTTCCCCCCACCCCCGGCCTCGCCCCCCTCCAATCTCCCAACCGCCTCTCCCCCTTTTTGCGACAGTCCTTCATCGCAACACCCCCCCCCCAGCCCCTTCTCTCTCTACTCTGCCTCTGCCGGGCTCTCCCAGCCGCCCAGAGCCCCCAGTCGGTGGGTAACGCCCTCCCTACCATGAAAAGTCGGAGGACGCCGGAGTCTCCAAACCCGGACTGAGAGAGGCAGGAAACACCCAGCTCGCGCAAGCCGGGGGCAGAGGCGGGGCCGGGGCGGGAACTTCCGCTGCCGCAGCCCGCTTCCGCCCCGCAGAGGGTGCTGTCTTAAAGGGTCCGTCGTAAGCCTACACGTTGGCTGCGTTCCCTCCAGGCTCCCTGGCTGGAGTGGGTTGCATCTCCTCTTGGCTGGATCGGACACTAACCCGCTCTTGAATGGCCCTCTTTTTTTTCACCTTCCAAAGAGGAGGGGAAGATGCAGGGAGGTCGTCCTTCCCGGGTACAGAAGCTCTGCGGAACTGTCGTTCGCCGGAACTGGATAGTTGCTTCCCAGCGGAGCTCTAAGAGCGGACACCCCGGGGCAAGATGGCGGTCGGTCCTCGGCCGCTGCCCCGGGTCTGGCAAAGCTCGAGGGTATTGGGCTGAGGTGGCGATAGCTGCGGCCCCGACCCCGAGCGCAGGGTCCTCGAGCGGATAAAGGTCTACGGCCTGTGGGTAGCGAGTGGGAACACGGTTGGGGGTTCTCCGGGTGGTGGGGGGTACTTTGAGGGAGGTGGCCCTTTGGCCGGGTCTCTGCCTCCCCAAGTCGGAGGGCAGGTGTTGGGGACTGGCTTTCGTGTTCCAGGGGGGAATCTTTTCGTAGCCGTTTCCACCCTTTTTCATCTCTGGGACGATAGGCTTTTTATAGACAGACTAATGCTGGGTGAAAAAGATTTGTTATTGTGGTTATTGATGCCGAGGGAAGATGCTGGGCTCAGGAGTCACCCAAACCGGAGTTCGAATCCTATTCACTCGCTGTGTGACCTTGGGTGAGTTCCCTCACCTCTCCGAGTCTCGGTTTCTTGCTCTGTAAAATGTAGTAATTAGCTTGTTTCACAGAGGAGGTCGTGTAATAACAAGTTTTAGTATCTGACACTTAGCTTTCTCAGTAGAGACAGCTGGTGTTAATGATTTCAATAAGAAAAACTTGGTGTAATCGGACTCTAACAGCCCTAGCGGCAGCCTTGCCTACTCAGCTTTTCTTTGCCGGCCTGTGAGTGACGGAGTCCCTTGGTCTTGTCTGTTTCACTTAATTAATTGCTTTGGCGATAGAGGTGGCTTCAAATTCAGGAGTCTAGTGACCTCTCACAAGTCATGTCCCCTTTACATTTCATTTTCTCTGTGTAAAGGCGGGATTGATAATTACACGCACCTGGATAGGATGTAGCCTTCAATAAATGATAGCTGTTGTTCTTAATAGTCTAAGTCCTGTTGCCTATTCTTTAAAAATTGGACCCCTGAGACCTTCAAGAGCTGTTGAAAGACAAAATTAGTTAAATATCTGTGCAGTGTCTGATACATGATCCCCCTTAACAAATGGTGGTGGTCACTAAACTTGGCTGCCCAGTTCTTCCACCATAGGGGGCAAATCCTCTTGGGCTCAGACAGCAGTTGATATTTATGATGCTTCACCTTTGGATGATACCCTCTGGACTCTTTCATAATTCTCCATGGAGCGGACCTCATCCAGGGAAGACTGATTTTGAGCAGATACCATGGGAATACAGAAGTAGAAAAGCATCTGAGTCCTGTCTCTTAGTATTAAAATCTTGGCTCTGCCCCTTAATAATGGTCTAACATGGACTATGGGTCATAACTAAATGATCTCACGTGGTTGCTGGTCTTACTATGTAGAAGGGACATGACACATAATGGATATTTAATCAACTTATTTTCCTTTTTGCTTTTTAAATCTTGGTTATCACCAACCTCTTGTGTTTGTAATTTTTCCACATATATCATTTCCCTAACTGGATGGTAAGCTTTTTGTTGTTTGTTGTTGTTGTTTGTTTTTTAAGCCTAGATGATGACAGTAAAGCTCAGTTACCTGCCATCTGCTTTCAGATACTCCTTGTTAAAAATTTCCCACTTCATCCTATCACAGTGTCATGTTGACTAGGTCACAATAGAAGTGTAAATGTTTCAACTAATTCTTTTAGCACCCCTAGGAGGTAGGTACTATTATCCTCAACTTACAGATAAAAGAAACTGAGGCCTAGAGCGGATAAAGCAATTTGGCCAAATGAGGTAGAATCAGAACTAAAAAGAACCAAGGGTACTTTGATCCAGGGTTTTTTCTACTACATACAGCCTTTTCTTTGATTATGTCAAAGTTTGTGTAATCCTTCATTACAGTAACTTTAGTACATAAAGACTTCATAATGAGCTTTATGTCTTTGATAAACTAGTAGATTCTAGGCACATAGAAGTGAATAAGAAGGAATTAGAAGAACTGCAAAGTACAGACTATGGTATAAACAGAAACATATAGTATTGCTGAGGGGATGGAAATTTGAAGGAAGAGCTCTTCTCCTGCAAGTCCCCCTGGGAGAAGTAAAAATTTTGAGGTAGTCTTACAGCTGCTTTGTCACAGTTTGCCTATGCGTCCTCCGGTTTTCCCATTGAGAAGAGGCTCACTCTCCTCCTCACACCTTGTGCGCCCCCCCCCCCCCCCCCCCCCCCCCAAGCGCTGCCCGAGGGCAAGCGAGGCCCGCCACCAGGCCTTTCCCCCCCCCCCCCCCGCCATGAGGGACTGTCTACATATTAGAGAATGATCAGACCATTGTGCTGATGGCTTGGGCCCTTTCTTTGGTGGCTCTCAGGAGCTTGAAGCTGTTACTCAATCTAAACAGGGTCCTAGCCCAAGTGACAGGACTGGTGAATCTTAGTGCACCCAGGGATAAGACAAAATTTAATGGGTGAAGAATGTAATGGTCCCAGCACTATTTCCTACCCAAAGAACCTGCGTGACTATGCAGATGAGAGCCTCTACTGAAGAGTTTTTTTTTTTTAAGATTTTATTTGAGAGAGGGAGCACAAGCAGGGGGAGGGGCAGACGGAGAAGCAGACTCCCCACTGAGCAGGGAGCCCTGACTCGGATGCAAGGCCAGGTTCCAGACCCCCGGGATCATGACCTGAGCCAAAGGCAGACGCTCAACCAACTGAACCACCCAGGCGCCCCTACCGAAGAAGTTTAAAAAAAAAAAACAGAATTCATGTCTGTAAAAATAATGCATTGATTACTTATTGGCTGTGCACTCTGTCAGCCACCTTGATAGGTATTTGACATACACCATCTCATTTGGTCCCTCTTCGCCTCTGCCAATTCAGAGATAAAGGCAGAAAGCCTCTGAGGCATTTCTCTACAGGACCTGGCGGAGCTGGGGACCGGCTCCAGCTCTGTGTGACTCCAGAGCATGTGTGCTTCTCAGTGCCATTCTGCCTCACCATGTGCTTTCTGCAGAAAATTTAGAAAACAGACTAGTTAAGGAAACAGAACTTCCTACCTCAAAACAACCGCCCTCAACATGTTGGTGTATTTTTCCCAGCTTTGTGCCTCTGTGCACATGCATTTTTCTTTTTCATTATGTAATTGGGATCATATTGGTTCACAGCCAGCTCTTTTTTCATTTCTCTGCCATAAACATTTTTCATATCGTTAAAAAATGTCAAACGTAATTTTCAGTGGCTTTTTAACATTCCATCCCCTCTGTTCTTACTATCATAAAGCAGGTACAGCTTTAATTCAGCTTCTCTGGGGTTGTTTTCAGCCTATTCCCTTTAAACTGAAGGCCTGGGGAGATACGGTGTAACATTTAGATCAGACATTAACTAAAAAGGACACTAGTGTTTTAAGCCAGAAGCATTTTTTATTATTTTTATTCAGTGGGGAAGATCTAGGATGCCCTACCTATAAAACTTAACCCTGAATCTGGGCTTTTTTTTTTTTCTTCCTTCTGCTTTTGCCAGAAAAGACAAGCTCCTCTGAAGCAAGAAGCTGCCCTCAGCTGTGAGTCCTCGACAACATCACTAATGATTACCTGGCGTTTCTGTGTCACAGGCAGGTCCTCAGGTGAGCTCTCCAGACTTGCTTGGGCAGAGAGAGCAGGTGATTAAGAAGACTGTATCTTTTCCTCCCCTGCCTTCTTACCCTCCCTCCTGTGATCAGGTGGGCTTTGTTCATTTGTTTTGACAGTTACTGATGAGAGACCCCCGTGCTGGGAAAGTCTTGTTATTTAACAGATGTGAATTGCTGTTGAAAAGGGACCACAGAGGCCCCTCGGTAGGTTGACATGGGGGGAGCCCTGAATGAGCTTTTTATTCTTAATGGTGTTTTCACATGGGCACTGCTTTGAGGGAGGTAACATAGTAAAGAGATTGTTTTCCTGAAGTCTGTATTTCTGAGTAATCGATTTCAGTCATTTTGTCAGCTGGGCTGATTATATATTTGGGACAGAATGACAGTTTTCGAGCATCCAAAGAAATCATCTCAGTGTGGGAGGCTCCCTGGACCAGTGTTGTATGCGCTAGGCTGATAGCCAAAGCCACCCCTTTGGGAAAAGACAGTTACTGGTGATTTAGATAAAAATGTAATGGATAATTGAGAGGCTCTGTCCAAAACATGCCAGTCAGTGGATGGCAGAGTTCTGCTCCAGAGTCTTCCTCGGCCGTTGGCAAGATGGGATCAGTCAGGACAGCAGAACAAGTTCTACAGAAAACCAAACACATTCAGTTTAACAGATTGTCTTGCATTCTGGAATCACATTTGGCTTTTTTAGCATGAAAATGGCCCTTTTTCCAAAAAAATTAAGGGTTTCTTTCGGGGTAGGCACAAAATAAGTGCCAGTAAATATTTGTTGCATGAATGGCTGAATGAAATAATGACAGTAAATGATTATTTTTTTCCTCCAAGTCTTGACTTGGCAAAATAAATTTGACTGCTCAGTGTTAGACTGTTCCAGAAAATTCGGTTATCTAGGAACCTTTGACCTGGAGGATGCCTGGTTTGCATTAGAGCTTTATGGATGGAATCGATTCATGCTTTGCTCATCTGTTAAACGATTACGGAGCCCATACCCTATGGCAGCTGCTGTGCTTTTTCTCTTAAGATGTAATTATTTAATACAGGAAAGAGCATCGTTGGTCTAGATGAGTCACATGAAAGGAGCCGATAGGAAGTTGGGACTTGTGCCAGGAGAGCTGTTAGCCCTTTTGGAGGGCACAGAAGGGTCCCTAGTAGCTCTTTGCTGCCGAAGTGCCTGCCCGCCCTTGGCTCCTGAGCCCCTTCCTGTGTGTTTTTCCTGGAATGACCTACAGAGGCCGCTCACCATTTTCCCTGCAGGGTTTGTGCAAGTTTGCAAACATGTTCACCGTTTCTCAGACCTCGAGAGCATGGTTCATCGATAGGGCCCGTCAGGCTCGAGAGGAAAGGCTCGTGCAGAAGGAGCGGGAACGGGCAGCCGTTGAGATTCAGGCCCACGTTCGGAGTTTCCTGTGTCGGAGTCGGCTGCAGAGAGAAATCAGGTGGGTGCCAGTGACTCAGCACATTCTCCCTTGCTCCCAATTAATAGCAAGAAAAGGTGGTGTTTTCTCCTGCAGTTCTTGAAAAGCCTTCCAGCTGCTGTAAGCTAATTTAAAATGTCTTTCTTTTTTTTTTTCTTTTCCTTCCCTCCCTCCCCAGGAGAGAGATCGATGAGTTTTTTAAAGTAGATGATGCTGAGTCCAGTAAAAGAAACGCACTTTGTATTTTTAAGATTGCCAGGAAACTGCTGTTCCTGTTCAGAATTAAAGAGGATAATGAGGTAAAATAATAATAGCGAACACTCTGCTTCCCCATCGGCCAGGTCTTTTTAAAGTATCTTATAAATATGAATTCATTTAGGCCTTACAGCAAGTCGGCGAGATAGACTCTGTGACTGCCACATCCTGCCCTTTCTGTTTTCTTGGGACGTGTTTTGTAGGCATTGTGCCCAGTGCTGCTGAGAATCATCACTGTTCACGTTCACTATGATAAGCACTTGGACTCAGATGCAAAGGGGAGCCAGGGAGCCAGGCAGGTTAGGCGTTAGGCGAGTGAGTGAAAGAAGCCATTTACAGGACAAAACATAACAGAAAGCCTAATGAGCAGTGACCCCTTGGGAGGTGGTGGGGATGGGGGTGGTGAGGACTTCAGAGGGAGTGATGGCATCTGTGGCATGCCCAAGAGTGGGCAGCCACTCTTGGGTTCCAGCCAGTGGTGGACTGCTACTCTGATTTGGAAAGGAGGTGCTGGGGATCCTGTGCTCATTTGTAAAAATTGGTAGCTAATTTGAAATTTCTCTCAAATCCTGTAAACCACAAACAAAACGTGCTGGTTGCGCCTTTGGGATTGGAACAATCAGCCTAGAGCAGCGAGTTGTCTGTAATAATACTTCCAATACCATTGAGGAGTGCCTCTGTGCTCCCAGGGATTACGCATTCCTTACTACTAAGCGTCCCATTGTGCCAGACCCTCCTCTAGGCACTGGGGCCCCGGAAGGAAACAAGATGCGCAAGGTCTCTAGCCCCGTGGAACCTGTAGCCCAGAGAGAGGCAGAAGTATGCTGGTGATGGACACACAGACACACAGATGAGGACAGGCAGGTGCAGTGAGGTGACCCCTGTTGACGAGGAAACTATAGCTCTGGGTAATGAGGTGGCTGCCCAGGGCCATGGCACTTTTGGGGGCGGATCCAGAGTTGGTGTAGACAGTGTAACGTAGTTTCCACTTTCCTTCCTTTTGCATTTCAAGAGAAAAATGATGATGTGACAGTTTGTGAGGCAAAAGTCCGTGTCCATGGTGCTTACAGAAGGGCCCCCAGGAGAGCACGTTTCGGGGGACAGCTGCTAGTCTGCAGGAGTGTAGGCCCAGATTGCCAGATTGATTTCGTTTTTCCAAAGGAGCCCCAGTCCAAAACGCATGTGTAGGATTCATCCAGCCCGTGGGCCACCAGTTTGAGAGCCTTTCATTAGCCTTTCCGATCATCAGTTTCCGTATCTATGAGAGGAAATTAAATATGATCAGATATGTGAGTCATCTGGGGCCATGCAAGTGCCTGCATGTGCCAGGTGCCCACGGGACTCTTGCTTCTTTCCCATTTCACCATTGGTTGTGGGAATTTATAACCCCCACTCTGCCTCTTTGCAGAGATTTGAGAAGTTGTGTCGCTGCATCCTGAGCAGCATGGATGCTGAGAATGAACCCAAGGTAAGTGGGACGGGGGCTGGGAAGACTCCCAGAAGCTCTCAGGCCGGTCTCTTTGTCTCTGAAAGTTCCTGCTGAATGTTAGGATTTTGTTAGGTATGACTTTGCATAGGTACACACAGCCCTGCGTGTAAGGAACGGATCAAAACGTTAACAAAGTGCAACTGATTTTTTTAGTCTCTTCATTGTCCAAGAGCTATGGTCTGCTCTTACCTCTTACTCAGGATGCTAAATTTTCTTACTAGGCTATTTCATCTCTGGGTTTAGAGTTAAAATAAATCCTACTTGCTGCTTATTCACCCATTCATCTCCACTGCCTTCTCTGGCACTGGACCTAACAAATTGGTCCCATTCCAGTAGCTACAACGTATGTAATTTGGTCTCTGTACCTGCCCATTATGTTTCTCTTTCTTCTGCTTGTAGGTGTGGTATGTGTCCCTGGCTCTTTCCAAGGATCTCACCCTCCTGTGGATTAAACAGATCAAACACATTCTTTGGTATTGCTGTGAGTTTCTTGAGCAGCTCAAGGTAAAAACAAAACAAGACACCTGTAAATATATCCTTCTCCTTGGAGGCCTTTAGTGTATATTTTGAGAGTCCTCATGATTCCTTCATAGGTTATTCCTTTGGAAGTTTGTCAGAATCTAGTAAGAAATTATTAGAGCCCTTGTTCTGAGATAGAGCAAGTTAGATACCGTTATCAGAATGAGCCCTTCTTTCCTGTGCAGTATTTTGAACATTGGGAATCTGTTGGCTTTCTTTCCATTCTTTTGATACAACGGGTCATTTATTGTTTATATTACTGTACTAGTCAGGCCTCTTATTAGAAGTGCAGATACGGAACGTGAGTGCAGCTAGTAATACATACAAGCTAAGCAAGAAAGAGAATATCTTTTAAGAATATACTCTGTAACATGGCAGCCGAGGATGACCAGAACCAGGAACTTCTAGGATTCTCCTTCTTGTCCCTTTCTCTCATCCCTGCTCCCTTTTGGAATCACGGTAGCCAGCAGTTCTGCCTTCACATCCTTACCCTATCTTGACCAAAGAGAAAAGGGAGGCCTCCCCGGTGGTTTAGAAATCTGGGAGGAATCAAAGGTGCAGTGGGATCCTGGTCTCAACCTTGAACTGGTCACAGTGACAAGAGGGATGGGGTACTGCCACTGGCCCTTCCTGGTCCTGTATTCACACTTGTGTTATGAGAAGGTGGGCAGAGGTGTGAGTCGTTGCAAATGGTGGACATTTTCACTTTCCACAATGCGGGGAGAGGTTTCAGGGGCAGAGGCTTGGCAATGACTCAGGTAGTAGCGGAGTGAGGGACCAGATGTCCCCAGAGCCTCTGGTGATCCATTCCTAGCCATCTCCCTCAAGGCACTTGTGAATGACTCACTTGGCCTTGACCTGGCAGCAAGCATGAATTATGATTATAATAATAGCCAGTATTCCATAGAGTTATCTATGTGCCAGGCACTGTTGTTAGTGCTTTATATACATTAATCCATGTATTTCTAACAACAAGCCTATGGAGAAAGCAATGATCCTACCCCTAGTCAACAGCCAAGGAAACGGGTACAGAGAGGGTAAGCAACTTGGCTTAAATCACACAGCTAGTCAGTGGTAAAGCTAGCTGTCTGAGCCTAGAGTCCCTGTAATGTCCAATTGGATGTCTACACTGCTGCTTCACTGAACATACATGCATGCATGCATACGTACGTACACCCAGCAAGCCAGCTCCAGTCAGCTTGTTTTCCAAGAATTCTCTTCTCAATTCCCAAGAGCATTTCAGATTCCATGCTTGAGCACTTCTGTCATTTAACTCCCAAAGTGGTCATTCCCCAAGAGAAAAAGAATGAACTCGGACAGTCCTGACTCACTTATCAGAGGCCGAGTGCATCCAGGTAGGTTGTAAGTGGATGCTCGGCTGTTGGAGACTGGAGGGCATATGTCTTAATCTCCGTCTCTTTATTGTTTCCAGCCTGAAATTTTACAGGACTCCAGACTCATCACGCTGTACCTCACAATGCTTGTCACCTTCACAGACACTTCAACGTGGAAAATTCTCCGTGGAAAAGGTCTGTGGAGCTTGCTTCAAAACCTTTCCCAAGTGGCATTTGCATAGTGAGCTTCGGGACCTTTCCACCTTTTTAAGAAGCTTGTTCACCGCCGTAAGCCTCAGGGAGAGACCTAAAACTGTACAAATGAAGATGCCCTTGGCACTTCCATCAGAGAGCATTTGCAGTATTCAGAATATATGTTCAGTGTTGTGTTATAATTTCTCCTTTCTTTGCATTTATGTTTAAAGGCTTGGTCCTTCTGATCTCATTTTTTTAAAGCTCCCCTAACACCTCAGCCTCAAAGCAGTAATAGTTGCTCAAGCCTTGTCATTCGTGTCAGAATCATTGAGCAGCAAATAATTCCATTTTGCCCATAAAATTTGTGTTGTGAAGCTGCCTCCTTTTCCCTGGAAAGTGCACTGAGCCTTACATGTTTCATACATTCACTCATCCATCTGTTCGGCAAATAGCCTTCTCTGTGCCAGATACCACACAGGCGCTGGAGAGACAGAGAAGGTCACTGCCCTCGAGGGGCTTTAGGTGCTGAACGACTGCTGTGTGCCTGCCCTTCCTCAGAGCGCTGGGGAGTCTGGTGAGGGAGACAGACTCCAAAGGGAAGTCACAGATCTGTGATTGTACGTGAACATAGGCAGACTATACACGTGAACACATACATGTCCTGACAGCAGTGTGGCAAGTGCTCGAAAGGAAGGGTACAAGAGGCGAGAGCATTCAGTGGATGGGGGAGGACCTGCCTCGCTGTGTCTGGCGCTCGGGCTCTCCTGCAGGAGCGATGTCTGAGCTAAGAGCCAGAGGGAGAGTTGGCATTCACAGGGCCAAGAGGAGGGACAACACTGAGAGCAGAGGCAACTGTATGTGCAGAGGCTCCTGGCCAGAAAGGAGGGTGATTTTAAGGCAGGGGCATTGTGGGGTGGTTTAAAACTGGGTGAGTTCTGGCCTTGAGTTCCAGGGAGCTCGTATCCCAGTGCGATAGGAGGCAGCCACAGATAGCAGGAAGTGCCAAGTCGTCAGGGAATTACAAAAGGTGCTACAGGCGCTCAGAGGCTGGGGACATCCTTCTGACCAGGGAAATGATAGGACTCATCACCTAAGAGGGGATGCTTGAGCTGGACCTTCTGGGAGAGAGAATTCTGGAGATTGGCCTCTCCCTGTACTCTGGGACCGAACCAAAGCAGGGAGAGTAGGAAAGCAAGCCAGAGAAAATCTACTTTCTTTATGGCCTCGGGCCTGGGCCGTGATATTCTGTACCACTTAGAAAAGGTTCACAGTAAGGCCAGAGCCTTTCTTCTCAGACTTCTTTCTTCATTTAGGGGAGAGTCTTCGACCAGCCATGAACCACATTTGTGCAAACATCATGGGACATCTCAACCAGCATGGATTTTATTCTGTGCTGCAGGTTTGTGGCCCCCATCCCCTATCACAGGACCTCGTTCTTCCTTACCTAAACTTGGATTTTTACAGCTGATTTTGGCCTATCTGGTGCCCTCCCCACGGAAACCTTTTCACAGGAGTTTAAAGCCTGGCATCCTGTCTCTTCCCCTACCTTGAGTCCCTTGTGGTTTGTGTCAAGGGAGGACAGTGGCCCTGGGATCCCTTTATTGTGCTCCATCTTTGGCTCCAGGAATAACCCAGTCACTTGACGTTTAAAGTCGGGAAGGAGGCCTCAGGGCTTGGTTCCCTCGGGTTCCTTCTTGGGTGGTGTCTGGAATTACCTTTCTTGCTGTGTCCTCAAACACCTTCTGTCCACACTGCCCCTGACTGTGCCATCTCACTCACACCCCCAGGGAATTGTCAGAACTCTAACCACTGTTTAAAAGCACTTTGGAAATTCTTGAGTTTAAGAAATTGCATTGATTTAGCCTTGCCTTCTGCCTGGTACTGAGATTGGCTCCTTCCTGATCGGGTTGCCTTTTCTCCTCACACAAACCCTGTGAGGTGCATGCTAGCCAGAGGTGGTATCGTCAGCCATTCATCTCTGTGAAGAAGCTTCTGGATACCAGAATATAGGAAAAACACACAGGCAAGATTTAAGTCTGGTGTTCTTTTCACTGGCTATTAACTTTTTTAGCTCTTTATTATTTCTAAATTTTAAATAACGATATCGAGAGAGGCGTCATGAAGGCGATAACCCTCACTTTGCTCTCCCTTCATTTTCAGAAAACATTCCAATAGAGTTTTTTATCTAAAGCCCTCATTTTATTTCTGTGCTGCTTTTTTACGTACAAGTGAATATATAGTTGGCGTTGTCCCCTGACCAGTTAAAATGTTCTTTTCCAGATACTGTTAACCCGTGGCCTGGCGAGACCCCGGCCTTGTCTGTCCAAAGGCACTTTAACTGCAACCTTTTCTCTAGCGCTGCGGTAAGTAGTAAACTCCAGCTGAGGGGTTGGAGTACTTCGGGAGGCTTCCTCCTCTTGCTTTCCTTTTCTCCTGTTCCTTATGTTTGGTGTGGGCTGCCCGCTTTGTCTGAATTCACAGGAAGTGTCTTTCTTCCGATCGTGATGCATCTGTGGCAGCTCTTCGGTCTGTGCCCCTGAATTTTTTGCATCATGATTTGAAGGAAGTTTTTCAAAGTGAATTGCTTTTCATTGTGCCAAGGGCCCGAGACACAAGCATTTTTCCTTTTGAGCTTTTAATCGATACAGAGAACCGGAGAGCTGGAGGAGGCTCAGCGAAGAGCCAAGCAGAGGGTTAAGGGAGTAGTGTTGTGAACACAGGTTTAAAATGTTCGAATCTGGAGGCCCAGAGAGGATGTGCTGTTTGTCTTCACTTAGTTAGGAGATACAAAATACATACAAAGCTAAACAGTTCCATGTGGAAATTATGCCTGCAATTCAGAGAATCGCCATGTACACAAAGCTGTGTCTGTTTGGGTCCGGAACATTCTTAAACTGTTGAAAGGAGCACTGACTTGGGGGAAGATGTTAATAAGGTAACCTGCTAATCTTAATCCCTAAGATAATAATAACTTAGGGCAGAGGGAGTGTTGGGGTCAAATTAGCTTGGTAGAGCTCCCTGCTGTGTCCCCTTTGCTAATCCACAGGGCACTTTACCTCAGGAAGCTCTTGACAAGTCCTGAGGTTCAGGAACCTTTGGGCTTGTTTAATCTGATGTTGGCCTGAACATATCTGAACATGGAATACCTTCGCCTAATTTTTCAGTGGTGGAGCATGTCTGTTAATGTCCCATGGAGTCCTTTTCTATGGAGTACTATTTTGGAAAATGATGTTCTAGAGTATCAGTTGGCAAACTTTTTCGGTAAGGGGCCAGCTAATACATATTTTCAGTTCTGTGGGCCACACACTGTCACAGCCACCCTGCTGTTGCAGCACAAAGCAGCTGTAGACCATACATACACAAGCAAGAAGGGCTGTGTTTCAATAAAACTGTATTTAGAAAAAGAGGCAGTGGGCAGAATTGGGTCTTTGAGCCATATTTTGCCATTCCTGGTCTAGACTGTGCTGTCCACTAACCACTGAACCCTGTGGGGCTGTTTAAATAGAAATACATTACAACTAAGAATTCAGTTCCTCGTTTAGCGACGTTTCAAGTGCTTCCAGGCCACATGGGACTGAGCAGTGATGACCTTACTGGACCACACAAATGAGGAACATTCCCATCATCACGGAAAGTTCTATGGGACAAGGCTGGTCTAGAGCAGCCCTGCCAATAGAAATAGAATGAGAACTGCAATAAAAAAGTACAAAGAAAGGGGAAATTAAGTTTAATGATCTATTTTATTTAAACCAGTATATCCTAAAGTATAATCATTTCTACATGAAGTCAGTATTTTTTTTTTTTTTTTTTATTGGAGAGAGCGAGAATGAGAGAGAGAGAGTACATGAGAGGGGGGAGGGTCAGAGGGAGAAGCAGGCTCCTCGCTGAGCAGGGAGTCTGATGCGGAACTCGATCCCTGGACTCCGGGATCATGACCTGAGCCGAAGGCAGTCGCTTAACCAACTGAGCCACCCAGGCGCCCGAAGTCAGTATTTTTAAATAATTTATTTTATTTAAAAGTAATAATTTTTTTCTTTTCATACTGAGTCTTCAAAATCTGGGGTGGATTTTATACTTAAAGTCTATCTGCTGCTGAACTCACCACATTGTAAGTGCTCAGGAGCCACACGTGGTCAGCAGCTACTGCGTCGGGCAGCACATTTCTAGAGGCGAGATCCTTAAGACCGAAGAGCAGGTGTCAACCAGTGATGCTATAATTAGTTCCAGAGCTAGACAGATTATCCAGTAAACAATTAGACCTTCCTTGCAGACCTTGAGAGGAGTTGTATTTAATGAGTCGTAGGATGTAAGTACAAACAGGTTTTCCAGTGGGAGGTTTCCTGCAACTTCTTTTCCTGAGTCACCTTCTGGGGCGGCTCATTCCGGCATCATCCACCCTCTACCCTGTCAGGGGCAGCGAAGGGTTAGCACAGGGATGCCTGAGCTCCAGGGCACAGCAGCAGCTCTGCCGCCTCGGTCTCCCGAGAACACAAATCTTTCCTTCCCTTACGGCGTCCCTCCCCTGCCCCGAGAGGGTTGTCATTCATGGTGTGATTCACCAAAAGGGTCACACCCACCCAGTCCAGCACATTTCTTCTCCCTTAAGAATACGGTAGCATCCATCATTTTAGGTTTTTTCACTCTGTACGTTAGAGTCCTTTGGCTCACTTGTGAAGGCCGGGCTGCTTTAAAGCCTTTTTCTTAAACAGTGCACCTTTTCCCCCTCGGAATATCTGTATGTAATTGAAAGTGGCCGGGACCTTTTAAAACAAGATACCTAGTGGTTTTGTCATACTGGAATAAACTATTGAAAGTCTGTAAAATTATAAATGATATGTTTAGACATGATCACCAAATCTTACGGTGCAAATAGCTAACATTCATGGGCCACACAATTGTTTTAAGACTTCTGCTCACATATATGACTCCTCACCACATTCTCTAATCTTGGTTTTATAGATGAGGAAGCTAAGGCACAGAGAGGTTAAGCCATGTGCCGCCCGTCACACAGCAGGGAGTGGCAGGGCCAGGGATTAAACCCAGGCTGTCTGACTCCAGAGCCCATGCTCTTTACTCGTTCTTTACGCATGCCTACTTGCCTCCGTATTGGACATATTTTTGTATTCTAGGTACAATATATATAAAATTCGTGGCACGTGGGAACTTTCTTAAATTCTCCCTGTTCCATTTCTTACCCAGGCTGCAGGTTTGCCCAGGCTCAGTTTCTGTTTTCCCGTGTGCCTGTCCCGCTCCCTGGTTGCAGCGTGAGCTCTCTGTTGGCGGGTACTGTGCAGTGAACCTCTCTTTTCCCCTCCTCCCCTGCCGTGCCTAACACTGAGACCCACACATAAGGCGCACCCTGTCCAGCGTACCACTGGCAGGACATTGGAAGGATTTTTCACCTGTTGCTTAGGTGCAACAACCACAAGGCTAAAGGAAGTTTTTGATGACCTCATGCTAGGGGTATAGATAACAGGGCATTGAGGGAAAGGGAGTGTCTGGTGTATATTTGTGGTCTTTTTAGACTGGCCTCCCTCAAGGCAACCCTGCCTCCTAGCAGTCCTGCAATACCTCACTCCTGGTCAGTCAGGCGGATTTACTCCGGGATATGACTCAGGGTGGGATCCTGCCCTTGGCGTTCGCTTGGAAGTGAGAAGTGATGAGTTAAAGTTTTGGTGACATTCTCTTGTGGTTTGCTTTTCCTCTGTCTAGGTAATTGCTTAGTCCTGCTCCACACCTCTTTCTAACATACAGAAAGTAACTTAATTCTCTTTTTAGAGAATTCGCTTTTGTCCAACTCAGCTCAGTGAGTTTAGCTTGACTGGTCAGCCTCCTATAGACAGGTGGTTGACATAGACACTGGTGTTTTGAGCATTTCAGCCATATGCAGTTTTCTGGTCCCAAAAATGGTACCCTTGAAAGTGAAAGTTTATAATACAAATTCTGATAGTCTAAATACTCGTAACATACTTGCTTGTTGCCACTGGAGCACGTTAGCTAGAAATCAGTTTCCTCCTGTAAGTTCTTTTTTTTTGTTTGTTTTTTCTTGCATGATCTCTGGTGTTTTTTTAAAATAACTTTATTGAATTTTAATTCACATATCCTACCTTTCACTCATTTGAAATATACAGTTCACTGGTTTTTAGTACATTCACAGAGTTGTGCAGTCATCACCACTGCCTAATTCCAGAAATAAACCCCATACCCATCACCAGTCACATCCCTTCCCCCCACCCCCACCCCTCCCCCCTTCCATGCCCCCCACAACAACTAATCTACTTTCTCTCCCTTGGGGTTTGCCTGTTCTGGATGTTTCACATAAATGGAATCCTACAACGTGTGGTCTTCCGTGCCTGGCTTCTTTCACTTTCATCCGTGTTGTAGAATGTATCCGTTCTTTGTTCTTTTTTATGGCTGAGTAATATTCCGTGGTATGGCTATGCCACCTTTGGGTTGTTTCTACTTCTTGGCTATCATAATGGTGCTACTGTGAACATTTATGTGTAAGTTTTTAGTGTGGACCTGCTTTTCATTTGTATATATTCCTCAGAGTGGAATTGCTGGATCAGGTGGTAACTCTGTGCTTAACTTTTAAGAAAAACTGCCAAACAAAGTGGCCTCACCATCTGACATTCCCACCAGTAATGAATGAGGGTTACAAATTCTCCAGGTTCCCCCCAACCCTTGTTATCTTCTTTTATCATAGTCCCCTTCACGGGTGTGAGGTGATCCCTCCCTGTTGTTTTGATCTGCAGTTCCCTGATGGCCAGTGATGTTAACCATCTTCTCATGTGCTTATTAACCATTCGCATCTCTTTCTTTGGAGAAATGTCTATTTACATTCTTTGCCCATTGTTTAATTGGGTTGTCTTTTGTTGAGTGTTTGAGTTCTTTATATGTTCCAAATGAAAGTCCCTTACCAGGAGATAATTTGCAAATATTTCCTCCCTTTCTTCTGGTTGTCTTTTCACTTTCTTGATGGTGTCTTTTGAAGCCAAAAGTTTTATATTTTGTGATTTTTTTTTTTTTAAAGATTTTATTCACCCATTTTGAGAGAGTGAGAAAGAGCACACGCGCACACAGCAGCGAGGAGGAGGGGCAGAGCCAGAGGGAGAAGCAGACTCCCCACTGAGCTGGGAGCCCCATGGGGGGCTCAATCCCAGGACCTTGGGGTCATGACCTGAGCCAAAGGCAGACGCTCAACCGACTGAGCCATGCAGGCGCCCCAAATTTTGTGACTTTTTTTTTTTTGTCCTAAGAAATCATTGTCAAACCCAAGGTCACAAAGATTTACTGCTGTGTTTCCTTCTAAGAGTTTTACAGTGTTAGTTATAAAACTAGCATTTAGGTGTATAATCCATTTTGAGTTAATTTTTACATATGGTTTGAGGTAGGGGTCATTATCTTATTTTAATAACATTTATCTTTTTTTCTGATTATGGAGGATTGCATGCTTATTGTAGAAAACCTGAATGAAATAGAGTAGTATAGGGAAAAACCAGAAGAATTTCTGCAACTCAGAAGTAACCTTGTCAACAATGAAATCTTGTTTTACTCCAGAAAAAAAAAAGAAATAGAGTAGTATAAGAAAAAATGTCTCTCCTGATTCTACAACCCAGACACACGTTGTTAACATTTGTTAAAATCTGTCCTTCTTGGGTTTTTTCCACTTGTATATACTTATGGGCTTATCTATGTATACACATATCTAAGTATTATTATCATAATGCATACTTACAGTAAATTGCTTAATCAGAATGTGAATTGTTGGTGAGTTATCACATAGTAAACACGCCTGCATAAGGACCACTCCCCTTGAGAAATAGAACAGTGCTGGCATTCCAGAAGCTCTCTTTCTTCCTCTAGGTCACTACCTCCTCCCTTGCCTCCCATAGACATAGTTCCTCATCCTGTTTTCTTTAAAGTTTATTACAGCATGAGTATTCGCTCATGTCAGTAAAACTTCAAAACGGCTCTCTGTCTCCTAGCTGCATCCTACAACTGTACTGTCACTGACTCAGCCACTCCCCTTGGGGGGGGGTCCTCATTTTCAGCCTGTAGTTTTCCTAGAAGTCCTGTGAAGCATAATTCCAGGGGAATTGGGGGCGTTGGCACAGTGGCTCTTTGGCTCTGGGGTGACGTGCACACCCGTGTGAAGAAGGTAATCTGTCTGTGTCTAGCCCTGTGATTGCCGCGCAGTTTTCAGACAATCTGATTCGGCCATTCCTCATCCACATCATGTCTGTACCCGCTCTTGTGACTCATCTCAGCACAGTGACCCCTGAGGTAAGTGACTCCGTGATGTCCCCCCCGAGTCCATTTTTGCCTTTCTTCTTAGAAATTAGAGAGTAAATGTTTTCTCTGTTAATTTCCACTTCTTCTGAGATTTCTTCTAAACCAGTAGCCACCGTAGGCACGCTCATGTTAGCAGGCCAGAGAATCAGGTTCTCATCTTTATTAGTTTTCTTCCTGGCCATTGAGGGCACGTTTGGCCTCCAGGTGTTGATCTGCAAGCCATCACGTTCATTGGTGGGAAATTCTTCCTGTCAGCTCCCGCTCTTAACAGTCTGCAATTGTTTGCAGCGCCTCACTGTTTTAGAATCTCATGACATGCTTCGTAGATTCATCACATTTTTAAGAAACGAAGATCGATGCTGTGACGTATGTGAAAGCTTAGAAGGATGCCATACGCTCTGTCTAATGGGTGAGTATCTGTGGCTGGAATTTGTGTTCTGGGTGTCGGGAAAAGTCCCAAGTGTTTTTGTTTTTTACTGTTCTGGAGATCATGAGTTGTTTTTAGTAACACTTGGAAGTACTTAAAAGACATGTAACCAGATGGATAAAACAGACGTAAAATTGAAAATCAATGGAAAATATATCCACCTGGCAACCTAGTTGAGTGACTGTAAATGAATGTTAAATTTTGGCCCTCAGCTTCCTGGCAGCCAAGGGAAAAATGAAAATGCCGTGAATCGCCTGGATAATTCTCCAACTCCAGAGAGAAGAACGGGCACAGTTAGGTGGTGTTTAGATCAGAATAGGGCCTGCACCATCTATTTTATGTTTTCCTTGTAAATGAAGACAGGACAGAAGAAAATGGATAGAAGCATTTGAAATCAGCAGTGGTACGTAATTCTCATCACTTAGAAGAAGTTTATTTTACATAGAAAAAGGTTCTCGGGGCAAAATTTTAAGAGAGTTTATGGTGAGAGTCCTCACACAAGGCATATTGAATAACTTCGGTGAACGTTGGACAACAGTGATTTCCCAGAACGCTCAGATGTGCTTCCAAAGGTCATTTCTTACACTGGCTCTTGATTTTTTAATCTTAGTGTAATATCAAAATGTTACGCTAACTAAAGATCACACAACTCTGTGTGATGTTTTACGTTACTTCATACAATCCTCACATCAAGAGTGGGGAGCTTTATTCCAGTCTTATAATGAGGAAAGGGTTGGAGAGGTGGGTTGAGGGGCACGCAGCTCTTCTGTGGCAGGGCCAGGATTTGAAGCCAGGCACCTCTCTGTGTGGAGTTTCTTCCTACACATGAATGTGTCTGCAGGAGCCCTGGGCAGAGAGCAGGGCAGTGAAGGTGACGCAGTGGGTCACCTGGGCCCACTACACTGTTTCTCTCTTTGTAGGCAACCTCCTTCACCTGGGCTCCCTCAGCCCCAGGGTGTTAGAGGAGGAGACGGACGGGTTTGTGAGTTTGCTCACCCAGATGCTGTGCTACTGTCAGAAGTACGTGTCCCAGAAGAAATCCAACCTGACCCACTGGCACCCTGTCCTCGGCTGGTTCTCGCAATCTGTGGACTACGGGTGAGTCCTGGAGGCAAACCGCCATCTTTCCTGCCCCCTGTGTGCCTCTCACCACCTCTCCCTTCTTCCTTCCTTTCTTCCAGCTTGTGTTGTGTTGTTTGTTACAAAAGTAAGATATATTCACTGAGTAAAATCTGGATAAGACCAAAAGAGAATAAAAACCACCCCATTATGCCACTACCCCGAGACAACCTGCATGAATATCCCTTCAGTTCCTTTTTTTTTACTTGTTAATATCAGCGATTGTTTTGAGGTCATTTTATTTTGTATTTAATTTTTTTTTTTTTTAAAGATTTTATTTATTCATTTGAGACACAGAGATACAGAGAGAGAAAGCATGAGCAGGGAGAGAGGCAGAGGGAGAAGCAGGCTCCTCGCTGAGCCAGGAGCCCGATGTGGGGCTCGATCCCATGACCCTGGGATCATGACCTGAGCCGAAGGCAGACGCTTAACCATCTGAGCCACCCAGGCGCCCCTGTATTTAATTCTTTAGTAAACTGTGAACCTCATCTATCAATACTGTTTTTTCTTTTTGTACAATATACAAAAGTATATTGTAATATACTTTTCAATATCGCTTTTCCTGACTCCCTAGATTGCCGTATTTTGGAGATACTGAAATAAGACACATGATTGAAAGGGGATAGAAGTCACCTCATCCTTTTCAAGAGGTGGAATATCAATTTAAAAATTTTTAATTACAGAACTCAGAAACATTAAAAATGTTAGGCAAGAACAGAGCAATTAAGTGAGGTGGCGTCACGAGTTTGAAAATGAAAGCTGTACCCTTGACTGAGATGAGGCAGGTCTCAGGAGCGAAGGCAGCTGTGGCTCCCCACTGTTTTCCTGTTCAGATCTCTGCCTGGGTCCCTGGCAGCTGCCCTTGAGGCAAAGAATGAGGGCCAGGGAAGGAAATCCCCAGATTGCCTCCCTTTTCCTTGGGCCTGAGAGCCATCCAGTTGAAGAGACAAATGACCAGCCGATGGCAGGTCCCTGTGTGACATCCCAGCCTGAAGAGGGTGGAGCGTGTGTGATTGGGACTCGGGAGGGAGGTCGTGGGAGGCAGGAAGGGCAGGAGAGCACAGCATTGTGCAGCCTGGTCTGCTCTGGGGGGCTTTGGACAAGCCGCTTTACCCCACTCTCCAATCCTGAAACATGGGGACAGTTTTCCCAGGCTTCGGATAGTGTTGTTTCAGAGGATTGAATGAGATAAGGTATGTCGAGGGCCTGCCTCTAGGCCTGGCCCATGCTCGTGGGTGGTGGCTCTTTCTCCTGTGATGCTGGGAGCCCGAGGGAGCCTTGATGGGATGTAGAGCCGGGAGGTGATGAAGGCAGATTTCAGGAGTGAGTCTGATGCTTGGGGTGCCATGTGGATTGGGGGAGGGAGCACTTGAAGGCAAAGAGACTCTTAGGAGGTTGGGGGTCACGGAGATTTGCAGGCCAGGCCTGCAGTCTAGGTGTGAAGAAGAGGACCGTACAACAAGAATCATTTAGCTTTTGTCGACTGGGTGGTAAGTGGGGTGGGATCAGGATGAGGAACTGAGACAGGGTGTCTGGGAGGACTGTGCCGAGGAGAGCCTGGGGCCCTGGGGTGAGCAGGAATGCTGTCAGTGGCACAAGAAGCCCTGGGGAGGGCAGCAGAGAACACAAAGAGGGCAGTACCTTATGCATCTAGGCCCTCAGTGGCATTTCTGGATCCCACTTTCTCTTTTTTATCCTCTTATTTGCCATGTTGAGTGGCAGGCCATAGCCAGTCCCCCGAGTGGAAGGCCCAGTGGGGAGCTGAGAGCTGTCGGTGGCCATCCATCAGGTAGAGCTGACCCGCCTGGTCTCCTGCTCTCTCCTAGCCTTAATGAGTCCATGCCCTTGATCACCAAGCAGCTGCAGTTCCTGTGGGGGGTGCCTCTGATCCGGATCTTCTTCTGTGACATCCTGAGCAAGAAGCTGCTGGAGAACCAGGAGCCAGCCCACGTGCAGCCAGCATCCCCCCAGAATGTGCTTCCCGTGAAGAGTGAGTTGCTGGGGCGGGCGGAGCCCAGGGCTCTGCTTGGCTCCATTGCAGCTCCTGCGGTCCATGTGGGCCTGCTCCCCTCCGCTTCTGTGACACTCAAGCTTCTCCCACACAGGCTATAAGACTGCTCCAACCAAGTTCACATTTAGCAAAAGAGCAACAGAAAACCCTTAGGGATGGAAAACAAGGGAAACCTAAATGGGTGAACCAGACCAAGACCATGTGTAGAGATTATGGATTCCCTAAGGGCTACAGTGGGGCTCTCTGAACTTTCATTTGGCTCTGAATTTCTAGTAGCTAGAATGAAAGGGGGTTTGTGGATCTTTTCTTACTCATTAACACGAAGAAGGAAGGCCCATTTCTTAGGGGAAGTCGAGCCTTTCTGAGCCCCTAATCATAAAAATCTCCCATGTGTACACAGAGGACGCTGGGTCACTGACCAGGCCACCCCCACATTGCCCCTTTTGCTTAGTCATAGGTTTGCTTAGTCAAAGGTTCCTTGTTACCCTCTCTGAGAAAAGTTCAGGAAATGCTGCTAACACAGAATTCAGTGGAGTCACCTGCCTGTGGCAGATTTCCAGGTTCGGGGTGACTTTTCTTCTGCCATCTAGCGTGGCATGGAGCCCCATCATGCAGCTGTCCATGAGCAGGGGCTCAGTGTCCCTTCAGCAGGATGGAAATGTAAACAGGAAGGTCTAAAACTAAAGTCAAGTACAACCCAAACCAAGTATCACTACTTGAGGTTGATGCTGCTTCCCTCTGAAAGCACAGAGAGCCGGGAATCATCCAGGCCCCCCACCTTCGCCCGTCTTCCCCTAATGTAGTCCTCCGGATTTTTACCCTGTGGGTTCTGAAGTCTGGTGGCCTGGTAAAAAAGTCCCCTGTAGGAGTCAAATAGGCCTGGCTTGGTGTGAGATATTTTCTGATGTGAAGAGGTCTCTGGGTTGCACCTAAAAGCCTATTGTTAATGCTTTTCTAATTTATCCCAAAGAGATGACTTGAGTCAGAGCAGCCACCCCACTGTCCAGCCCTGGCTGTAAGTCAGGCACTTTATTGAAATGCTCTTTACAGAGGAAAACCGGGCAGATGACTGAACGTCTGCTCACCCATTCCTTCTCCTCTCCATGCCAGATCTCCTGAAGCGTGCGTTTCAGAAGTCTGCATCCGTTCGGAATATTCTCAGGCCTGTTGGGGGTAAGCGTGTGGACTCTGCGGAGGTCCAGAAGGTCTGCAACATCTGTGTCCTCTACCAGACCTCGCTGACGACTCTGACCCAGATCCGGCTGCAGATACTCACAGGTTCGGAGTCCTGAGGTGGCATCTTCCGTCTCTGACATTTGGTGGATGATTTTTCTTAGAAAAAGTTATTTTCTTCTGGCTTTCTTGACTCAGAAGATACGTTTTGAAGGGGAAGGTATTTTTGAGCTGTTCTTCTTAGAGGTCGATACACCTCAGTTAAATGGCTCACCCTGACCTCAGTCCTAGCGCTGCCGGTTCGTTCCTGCGACCTGGCTTTTATTTCCATTATGGAGTGCAATTTGCCTTCGAAAGTTATTACTTTTTCTGAATAGAAAACTAGAAAAGACATGAAAAAAGAAAACTTAGACCATATTTAATCCTATAGTCCAAGGATAACCACCTGTGCCTGAGTGTACCACATTTATATATATGTATGTTTAGATTGAAATACATAGTTTTACCCTTTCCTTTCTGTTCATCACTTTAGAAGCATCTTATCATGGTCAACAATTCTTCCAAAATTTCATTTCTGTTGACCGTATAGTATCTCATCACACAGATGTGCCCAATGTTTTCCTTTTTAGCCGAGCAAGGAAGAAAGTCATGTGTGCCGTGAACACGGGGGTTGGGCATTTGGGGCTTCCCACTGCCGTGCAGGCCTTGTTCATATGGATTGGTGTGATGAGGACAGAAAGTCTGTAGGCCATGAAGCTGTTGACTGCATAAAGGGTTAAGAACTTTTCTGTTTCATTTTACTTTTTTTTTTTTTTTAATTATACATTGCCACTGCTTCTCTCTTTCACACATATTTACTCATCTTCAGACGTTAACAGAGCACCTGTCTGTGCCAGGCCATGGGGGTGAAGAGGTGACCAAGGTGGCCAGGGTCCCTTTCCCAAGAGGATTCTAAGAGTAGGGAGGCGAGCTGTAGGCAAGGGAAAAGCGTATTTACTGTCATGATGGGCTCTGTGACCGCGGAAGTAAGGAGACGGTGTGGGCTTGGACCGGAGCGGGCTTTCCCAGCCTCAGCACTGCTGAACTCTTGGGCCCAATAATTCTTTGTTGTGGAGTCCGTCTTGTCCGCTGTAGGATGGTTAGCAGCCCCTGGCCCTTACCCCGACGTGCCAGTCATGCTGCCCCCTCCCCGGTTGTGCCAGCCCTGCGTGTCTCTGGACACTGCCAGCTGCCGCCTGGGGCAGCACGGTCTCTGGCTGAACAGCACAGGACTGGTGTGCTGGCGGGGTGGCAGGCAGGGGCCTCTGTACATGTTTCAGAGGTCGCGTCTACAGGTCTCACGGGTACATTGGATTTGGAAGAGTGAAGGCTAAAGGCCTCAAAGGTGAGGCCAGAGTGTGTGGATGGTGGTACCATTTGCTGAGCTGGAGACAGCTAGCTGGGGGTGGGGCTTGTGGGGAACAGCGAGTTCTCTTTGGCTCTGATAAGTGAGGTGCCAAGCAGGCATGTGAGTATCCTGTGGGGGTACAGACAAAGGGGTGTCACGTAAAACTGTGGGCCCAGGGCAGGCTCAATCAGGAGAATGCAAAAGGAGGCAAACAGGGGTCTAGACCAAGCCTGGCACCCCAGCACCCACTGTGAGGGTTTCAGAAGCATAGTGAGTGATGTGACTTTTATGGCCTATGCTCAGCTTTTTAAGGTGACCACAAACTCAGGCATCCCTGTTGTCCCAGTGAGAGCACCCAGAAAGTTTTCTTGGCTAACTTGACAATACATCCTTTTAAGAAGGAGATAAACTAGTCTAAAGTGTTTGTAGAATATTCGGTCTGTTCAGCTACGTGCAAAGCAGATTGTAGAAAATAATACACTTCTTTGCTCATGCTCCTCACATGCACTTGGTGGCCCGGAGCCATGTGCTGGCCCCTGGCAGAGCTCTCCAGAGCCCTGCATCTTCGTTTCCACTGGAGTTGCTGCAGATGCAGCCCTGGTTGAATCTGTGTCTGAGGCTGGAAGTGAGTATTCTCGTCCACACTGTGAGGACCATTCACATAATGGGAGAGTAGTTGCACTTCCTAATTGTCCTGTGGGAGTACATTTGTGGTCTCCACAGTTTAACTACTCACTGTTTAACTCTTACTCTATTTTTAAATTGTGAGGGTTCTGCATTCTTCTTTCTTTTTTGGTCTCTGCATTCTAGAACCACATTCTGCTACCTTGAAAATGTGAGCTCAAACCTTTAGGAATAATAACTAAGTGGGTGCTCCCGTTTCTTTGCCTCCTCTATGGTTCCTTCAGGCCGCCCTAGTCTAAGCATTTATAGCAGCATTGATTGTGTCATCCTGCCCCTGCTCCAGGCAAATATATCTTCCCCAAGCAGTTCTTTGTTCACAATTAAGTAATTCAGAATGCTCTGTAAAATGAGAGGTATTATAAGGACTCAAATAGAAAGTGAAATAGGAGGAAAAATTTGAGACATACACCTTATTGTATATTCAGAGACACGTGGAACTTTAGAGCCAGGCTCTCTGAGTCAACAGCTGTATTAATAGACTTAAAATGTAACAGTGATGTAGCCTGTGTGTCTGAGGCCTTGAGGCCATCAGAGAGCAGATCTAAAATGTCTTCTGCTTCACCCAGGGTTAAATGTTTGTGAGACACTTCACAGGATCTCCGCTACAGTCATTCATTGCTTTCACATTTTTAGGAGAGATAGAATAATAGAAGTAGAGGAGAGGAAAGCTTTGATAAATATAGGTGAACCTGAAAGATGGTTTAAAGCAGGGTCTGCAAACTGCAGCCTGTGGGCCAAATGCGGCCCACCACTTGGTTTTGCAAATAAAGTTTTATTGGAATACAGTCCCATCCATTCATTTACGTATCGTCTATGGCTGCTTTTGTGCTACACTGGTAGCTTTCAGTAGTGTGACAGGGTGCTAAGCCAGGCCCACACAGCCTAAAAAAATGCTTAGTCTCCAGCCCTTTCCAGGAAAAATTTGCTGATCCCTGACTTAAAATGTAAACACTGAGTCAAACAGATGTGGGTTCTCTTCTTAGCTCTGATACTTCTTGGCTGAGTGGTTTGGGGCTAATTACTTAACCTCTCCCTGCTTCAGTTTTTTTCTCTTGTAAAATAGAGGTAACATTGGGTTTCACAGGATAGAAAGGAGATAATGCATGCAGAGTACTTAGATTGACATCTGAAACTTGGAAAGCACCCATGAAATGTTAGCTATTACTGTGATTATTACTCTCATGGTGATAATGATTTTCTTAGTGATTGCGCCTTAGAAGTGTAAGCGTTTTGTTCCCCCAGTGGGTAGGAGAAACCGTGGGCCAGATGGAGCCCCCACCTGAAGCTTGGGTTTCTCTATCCTTTTCCAGGTCTCACTTACCTTGATGACCTGCTCCCCAAACTGTGGGCATTTATCTGTGAGCTGGGGCCCCACGGAGGGTTAAAGCTCTTCTTGGAATGCCTCAACAATGACACTGAAGAGTCCAAGCAGCTCTTGGCCATGCTGATGCTGTTCTGTGACTGCTCCCGGCACCTCATCACGTAGGTTGACTGCTGGGGGGCTCCATTCCTTTCCTCGAACGTGGAGAAGCCAAATCACAGTGCCGTAAGGAAGCTGCTGCTGATGTGATTACCGCCATCGTTCGGACCCCTGTGGCAGGGTCGTTAGGAAAATTAGACCAGAAAACATTTACAATACAAGGTGGGCGGCACGTAGTCGGGGTTCAGCAATTCTTAGTTCCCATCCTTCTAGGGGAGCTGGGTCAGTACCCTTTTGTGTGGGCTTTGGGGGTCTCCCAGAGCTGGGTTCAAGTCGCACCTCCACCATTTACTCACTGGGTTAGGTAGTTACCTGGAAGATTCCAGAGCCAGGGAGCCAGGAGGCAGATCCTGGGTCGGCCACTTCCCGAGACACCTTGGGCAAGGGGGCCTCGCCTCTCTGAGCCTCCGTTTTCTCATCTGTAGATGGGAATAACAGTAGTACGTGCCTCTTGGCCATGTGGTAAGGATTAAAAGAGGTAATGCACACAAAGTGCTTGGCACAGTCCCTGGCACACAGGAAGGGTTGTGATGCTTATTATTATCAAACTGACCCTAGGCAAGTTGCTTAACCTCTCTGAGCTTCGGTTTCCTTATTCATCGAATGGGAATAATATTAGCAATCTGATAGGGAGTAAATGAGAAAAGGAGCGTCACGTTCTCAGTACAGTGCCTGGCACAGAGTGGGGTATTAGCAAATGTGAGTCCCATTCAGTTCCTTTGTTTTTTAAGCTTATGTGTCTACTTGTGTGTTTGGTATTTTTTTAAATCCATGTTTTCCCAAAGGTTGGTAAAGAATTATGAGAAGGGGTCCCAGACAGTTATGTTCAGGGTAGAAGACACTGATTGGTAGGAGGGGATCAGGGGTTGTAGGTGGCTAAGAATCATGGTGAGCAGCTGGAGGCAAGTGCAGGGCTCTGTGGGTGCCCCTGGAGACGCGCTGAATGGCTGGGTCCAAGGGTGAGCTGAGAGCAAGTTGTGCTCTAAAGCAAATGAAGCAGTCTTGGGAAATTTTCACACAGAGCTGTAACTTAAACGGTTCATTTACTCACATGTTGTTTCAGGCATCCATTCATTCCCTCACTTCTTCTCAGGCACCTACACCAGTGATTGTCATAGATGCAGAGGAAGAGTCCACGGCTCACCTCGGTGGACACAGACTCTCAGTTGAGATTCCTCGATCGTTAGGCATGAGTTCAGGCAGGAATTAAGAAGGGTGTCACAGTCGGAAACTTACGAATAAGAAAAATGTAAAGGGGAGCTTATTTTTTTCTTCTCTCAATTATAGTTTTAAAATTTTTACTACGGACAATTGCAAATAAATAGAAAGTGGGGAGAATAGTAGAAGGAACCCCCACGCACCCATCCACAGTGGTCAGGACGCGGCCACCTCTGCTTTCCCTCCACCCCCACCGGCTCTCCCCTCCACGTTATCCTGAAGTAGATCCTACACATCCTGTTGTGTTAGCTATACATTTTATCTGAAAGATAAGGCTTATTTCTTGACCTTATTTTTCTCTCATAAGAGGTAGAGATCTCCTGTTTTCCCCCCTTTCCCCAGTGGGAAGTTGTGACTAATTTTCCATCTGATTTAGGATCCTTGACGACATTGAAGTTTATGAAGAACAGATTTCCTTCAAACTGGAAGAGCTGGTCACCATCTCCTCTTTCCTGAACTCCTTTGTGTTTAAGATGATCTGGGATGGACTCGTAGGTACGGTAAAGATGCCAGCTGTCATTTCAGTGATGCCACACGGGGAGGCCATGGTCCGTACCATCACCTGATTCTTAGCTTTATTGCCCGTCACAGTGAATTGGAAAGGCACATTTATTCACGTAATTAGAAGTTTTACTTCTTCGCTCTCTGCATGGCCCCTTAAGGTAGCAGTGTGGTTATGGAGGTCTTAGATCTCCCTTCAGCATGTACGTATACATGTGGAGGATTATTGATGCTGAGGTTTCTGCCCTGCCTCTCCTTTTGCTCCTTTGAGTTTGATTTCCATGATGTGTCAGGGCACACCTCAAATCAGAGTTCCTGTCCTGAAGTGCTCGCAAGTTGTTCAGTACAAAGCTCCTTACGTTAAAAAGATCTTTCGGATCACCTGCTAGGGGGAGGCAGCGTGAGTGATTGTGTCTGGGGCACCCAGGTCCTGCAGACATTTAAGAAAGTACACAGGGCGCCTTTTATTCTCTTGGTTCCGCGTGGAATCCAGAGTGAGGGAGATGTGGGGCTAGGTGATGGACGGAGACAAGAAGCTGTCCTCCTGGCCCCCCGCCGGCTCTGACCAGCTCCGCGCGTGTGGCTCCCCCGTTCGTTTGCCCCACAGAGAACGCCAAGGGGGAGACTTTGGAGCTGTTCCAGTCCGTGCACGGGTGGCTGATGGTGCTGTATGAGCGGGACTGTCGGCGCCGCTTCGCCCCTGAGGACCACTGGCTGCGCAAGTGAGGAGCAGGGCGGGGAAGGGGGTTCACAGAAGCCAGAGTCCCCTCCGTCACTCTCTGCACTCATGCTCTGGGGCCGGAGGGTGGTCATCCCTCCTGCGTCCCCTCTCCTTCTAGGAGGACAGGCGCCCAGCAGTTGCATCTGTGAGGACGTGCAGATGCTGAGGGTGATGAGAGAACATTAATGGTGACAGCGCCAGGTCCCATTTAGCAAATGGGAAGCAAGTTCTAGCTGAACTGTGCAGCAGGTTACCATAGTTCAGCGGTGGTTTTTATCAGCAGAATGAACAGGACAAAAACGACAGCTAGGTTTTTCAGGGGTGGGGTGGGGAAATCCTCTCGCAACAACTAAACGTAAGATGTCTGCAGTATTTTATCAATGACATGTCAACTCAGGCTGTGGCACTAGAGTGGGGTCTGGCAGACACTTCCGGGAAAGGGCGACAGTAAATATTTTAGGCTCTGCAGACCACACGGTCTGTTTTGCAAGTGCTCAACTGTGCCGTTGTAGCGTGAAAGCAGCCAGAGACCGTGTGTAGTGATTGTGTTCCATGGAAATCGATTTACAGAAACGGTGGCAGGCTGTCGTTGGCCACCCCTGCACTAGAGAATGGTTTTCGTGTTGTAATAACCCCAAACCCATGCCTTTCTCCTGAAGGGATCTCAAGCCTAGTGTGCTCTTCCAAGAACTGGACAAGGACAGGAAACGGGCCCAGCTGATCCTGCAGTACATCCCTCACGTCATTCCCCACAAAAACGTGAGTTGCTCTCAGAGCTGGGCACCGGTGAATTTTTCTGTCCCACCACATGGTACCTGACTTGCCCTCTTCGCTGTAGCAGTTGGAGAGAAAGAACTGAGCTCATTCACTCAGCAGATGCGAATGGTGATTAGATCTCCCGCTACGTCAGGTGTTAAGCCAAGTACAGAGACTGAAGACAGTGGGACCTGGCAGTTCTGGCAGGTGGGGTGTGTGTTACAGGGATGGATGCTGCGGGGGCCCAGACAAGCGGACCTGACCCAGCTGGGAATAGGGGGAAGTGAATCAAGAGAAGCTTCTAGAGGCAAAAGTGGACAGTGGTTACAGGCCCCGGGTGATTGAGAGTATGGTGCTCCTGGAGGGCTGGCCGTATGGTCTGGCTGTGGGGAATATAAAGGAGAGCCAGGAAGCTGAGGAGGTTTGTAGGCATTGGAGTCAGAAGGACCTTGCGAACCAAGGGCAGGAGTGTGGATTTCGGTTGGAGTCATTGAGTGTTTTCAGCTTCGGGGGCCCCTGGTCAGAGCTATGCTTTAGAGAGTTCCTTCTGGCCGTGGGATAGAGGCCTGGCTAGGGGCAGCGGTGTTAAGAGGAGTGGAAAGACAATAGAATCATGAGAACAAAGACGTTCAGAGGAGAAAGAGATGGATTTCAGGTGGTGGGCGTGTTTCTGGCTCGGGCTCCTGGGCACTTTTGGGAGTCATTTCCTGGGGTAGGAGCACAGGCAAAGGCAGGTCTGGGAAGTGAGGTCAGCTTTGAGCAGGCAACAGGTGAGGTGTCTACGATTCCTCGGGGCCATTGGACGACGGAGCTGGAGAGAGGCTCCGCGTGTGGACAGTGCCCAAACCTGGCTGCATCCATGGCCGTGGACAGGGTGGTCAGGGAGCCAGATGGAGTAAGACGACCGGGGACCTGTCCTTTAGAGCGCCAGCACGAGGAGAGGACTAATCAGAGGAAGGAAACCAGCAACGTGGTGTCCCAGACTCAAGGGATGGGAGAGGCTCAGGAAGGGTCAGGTCCTGTGCGGAGAGTGTTGGGAAGCGAGGGTAGGCACCGGCCGCATCCCTGGTTTGTAGTGACGCTCCAGAAATGTCTGTTGGGCGCCGCGGCAGTACGGGGCTCCTTCAGGTCTTCGTGCGCCTTTCTTTCCTTTCCTTCTTTTTTGACAAAAGATGTTCTTAGAAAAGAGCACAAGTCACATTTTTGTATATTGAACCTTATTTTTCAGAGATACTTACTCCTCATTGCTCTCTGATTTTGTTTTGACCTTGATGTTAATACTCGTGATTGTCATTCTTCTCCCTCAAGGAGCGATTCGCAGACGGATGAGTCTGTTTAAATTCTTGTTGCACTTGACAGCAGAGCCTCTCAGAAATGAAGGGATCTCATGGAGATGACTTAGTGAAACGAGCCCCTAACCCCCACCCCCAGAGGGAGCCCCTCCGACCGTATCCCTGACCTTGCCTCAGATAGAGCCAGACGTGCTGTTGCTTTACTCTGCCCAGTGATGGAACATTCTTCCTCACCTGAAACTGAGTGATTGCTCTGTACCTTCTACCCTTTGGTCCTTGAACAGCCATAGACAGTGGAATCTCTAAATCTTCTGGGATGCGCAGATGACTCTAACACAGCACCTCGCCCTGGGCCTGCGTGCCTGCAAAGTCAGCCCTGGACCGTGGCGTTCCCATATTGCGCGGCCTGGGATCTCTGCTCCATCTCTGCAGTTCACAGACAGCATGCCCGGGTGGCCCTGGGTTGTCACAGGATATTTTAAGCTTTTGAGAGGAGCACAATGAAATCTGTTGGCCACTCTGAAGTACCAGCTCAAGCTCACGATGTCAGCCTTCCTCTTGAGGATGTCCTATTTGCTAAGCTGGGTTTTAAAGAAGTTTTTTAATTTCAACGTACGTGTATTTTTAAAATAGAGCTACTAAGCCCTTAGCACGCAAATATTTTTTTTTTTTTTTTAAGATTTTATTTATTCATTTGAGAGAGAGAAAACACAAGCAGGGGGAGAAGGAGCAGAGAGGGAGAGGGAGAAGCAGGCTCCCCACTGAGCAGGGAGCCCTATGTGGGGCTTGATCCTAGGTCTCTGAGATCATGACCTGAGCCAAAAGCAGACGCTTAACCGACTGAGCCACAGGTGACCATGCACACAAATACTTACCAAGTGGCTTAGGACCCTAGCCACCTTGTAAATGGCGCTGTATTTCTTTTGACCTAGGAGTGCCGCGAAAGTCCTTCCTGAGCCTTTAGGGGTGCTGAGAACAAGAAGCCTGGGAACCTCTGAGATTAGTTGGCATGACCTGGGGGCTCTAATCTAATCCTTGCTGTGTTTTTCTTTGGGGAATTTTGCTGAAGATTGCCATCAAGGCTTTTGTTACTTGGTTCATGAAGTCTCTCTTTCCTATCTCTTGGGGACCCTTCCTGGCCCCTGGCCCCTGTCCTGATCCTGTGATGGCCCTGGCAGGTCCGGGAGGGCATCTGCGGCTCAGTGTGTCGGGGTGGCAAGGGCTCTGTTCCATCCTGACGTGTCATGTGCTGCCCTCGCTCTCACACGTCTTGCTGGAATGCACAGGGTGATAGGGTCTTTGTAGTCCTGCCTGCTCTCTTGCGTCTGTCACTATGGCATCGGCTCTAAACACCAAAACTCTCCCTGTTCTTGACCTCACTCAGGTGGGCGGCTCACAACACTGTCCTTCCCACCCTTAGTGTTTCTAAAGGCCTCAACTCTCCCTGGTTCACACAGCACTTCACTCTCCGTGCTGTCTTACGTAGTTTGTACCAATCTGTGTGCGACTGGGACTCAAGGCCTTTCTCTCTTGTTTGGGCCTGGAAGGCCTGGCGCCCTGTGAGGTGGGCAGGGGCTGTGTGGTGTGGTGGTCTGTGTGTGGGTCCTAGGTTTGAATCTGGCCCCTCTGTCCACCAGCTGTGGGACCTTGGGTGAGTCACTTTCTTCATCTGCACAGTGGAGACACGGGTCCTTTCCCAGATGTCTTCTGTGGTCGCTGAGGCCTCTCAGCCCCTTGAGCACTGCTTACAGTTGCCCCAATCCGTCTTCCACACCCCATGGAAATCAGGGCTTCATCCTGGGATTCCTGGGAGGCGGGCATTCCCTCAGCCCCCTCTGCACTTCCACTTCTGTGTATGAGGTCTCTGCCCCATACCGGATCCACCCAGATGGGAAGCTTTTCTTCTGCCTCGTGTGCAGGTGATCGTGCTAAAGATCTGAGGTCAGAAGAAGCCGTTGTGCCCCATAGCCCACACAAATGAAAGACCTGTTCTGGAAGTCGGCATTCCCCCTGCACAGATGGGAGAGTCGAAGGTGCCCTTCACCTGCATCACGGCCACCCTCCCTGATGCTCAGTCTGTTCTTCCCCTCTGTGTTGTCCTAGAACCCCCAGAGCTTCTGGTACTACTCAGAGCACTTCAGTCCTTGTTTCTAGACTTGCCGACCAGCCACATTAAGCTGCCCCGCTGAGAAGTAGCCCCTCTGCCAAATATGTTCCTCCTCGGGAGGCCATTGGCAATTGCTTTTCCTGTTACAGCCGTGTTTACTTCATAGCCAATTAAATGATCAAATGTGAATGCACTAACCTCCCCTGTATATAGTTAACCCTTATTACCATTGTTATTGTTCTCACTGTCCTTGTTTGTATTTAGCAAAGCTTTTGACTTTGGTGGGGATTCTCATTTTTGGTTGGATTTATTTTTTCATTCAGCTGTACAGCAGTGATTGTACAGCAGTGATTCTCAAACCCAGGCTGGGGCAGAGGGTCGTGCTCTCCTCAAAGGGCCCTATCAGAATCTTGGCCATGTGGTGGGGAGAGAGGGTTCCTCTCTAACAGTAATTGAGAAATGTTACTTGGCAGGGGTCGGGGGCGGGGCTACGGTGTGCTTGAGGGCACAGAGGACGCAGACAAAAGGTCAGGACCTTTATTCTGTGAGATCATTTTTTAAAATTTCTGACCATGAAAAATATTATCTTTGAAATGTTTCTGTTTTGTAACTCATGACATTGATTTCCTTTAAAGCAGGCACAGCCATATAAGGCAGCCTCTAACCTGTCCTGACACCAGGTTTTTATAGTGGTTTATCAACTGAACGAGAATGATTTTCTCCCAGACCATTGTAAAGTGCATTCTGGCTACAGCCAGACCGCTTTTTCTGGGACCTTTCTTCCTTGGCATGTATTCAGCTATAATTTCTAATTCCCCAGATTGTGTTGGGGAATGTCTGCAATTCTCCCAAGACACTTCTAACCTGCAGTGCATATCAGAGTGTCCTATTCTGTTTGCCTCTCAGATGACTTTTTTCACTAATCTTGTACACTGTGTCTTCGGGAATCATCGGTTGTTGACCCAGTTTCTGGTCTCACCTTTGCTCATTTCAGAGAGTTCTCCTGTTTCGAAACATGGTCACCAAGGAGAAGGAGAAACTGGGGCTCGTGGAGACCAGCTCGGCCTCTCCCCACGTCACTCATATCACTATCCGACGGTCCCGGATGCTGGAGGTGAGAAGCCCATCGAAAAGAGGTGTACTCTGTGAAATGCTGGATTTTTAGTGGATGATCCGTTACCTCCAACCATTCTTGTCAGTCCTTGATCTAATGGCACTGAAATCAAGGCTCGGGGTTGGAATGGGGCTGTTGGTCCCATCATGTGCTCTGGAGAGCTGCTCGATTAAACATGACCTCAGTGCTGGGGACCCAAAGTGTGGTATTTCCCTGCCTTTTCCCCACCAGGGCCCCAGGGCTGGAACATCGAACACTTGGTGCTCTTTGCGGTGAGGACAAGGAGAGCTACGTGCAGGCATTCCCATGTCTGGGCAAACTCCCTTTGCCCTGGGAGACGCTTTGCCCAGACTCCCAACTGTGAATGTGCAGACAGGAGTGTAGGTAGTAAGTGGACTGAGCCATACTGGGGGGTGCATTTACCACAGAGCTAGGGGTTCTTTGTAGACAGGAACTTAGGAGAAACAGTGGCCCACCTCAGCCAAGGCCAGTGTCCAGCGTGACTGCTCTGTGGCAGCTTCATGTGAACAAGAGATAGATGCCTTTCCTCAGAACACTTTACCTCTGTGTGTCAGAAAATTGTAACAGCTTAATGTTTTTGTCAGGACATAACGCTGACGACATTCTGCTGGAACGTCGATATAGTAAATGTACGTGCCTATGAGGTCACTGTGTGCCGTACCCCCCACGGTTGTGCAGTGCAGAGCCTGCCCAAATGTGCTGAGCCTGCCACAGGTCAAACTGGTGTGAACCCCAAGTCCACATTCCCAGGAGAGGCTGGACTTGATGTAGTTGCCCGGGCTTGCTCTTCAGACCTTCTCTCTGGCTCCAGCCACAGCCCCTGGCAAATTAGCACATTCTGCGGTATAGGGCAGTCGTGGGATCCCGGCATGGCACATGGCCACATAGCCAGCCACCAGCAAATGGCACTGGCAGCAGCCCTTCCTCCCCACCCCCTCCCCCACATTTTCATTTCTCCCCCTTGGGGCATTCCTGCTCCTTCCTGCAGAGCTGCTTTTAGTTCCCCTGAACACTGGCGATTGACACTAGGGTCTGCTGGGGAGAGGCAGCGTGTGTTAGCCAGATGATGCTTTTGACATTCTTAAAAGTAGAAGAAACTTAAGTGCCTACAGGGACCCCCCTGGTCATGGGAATGGGTCAAGCTGGCTGAGTGTGTCCGCACAGGAGCATCTTGTTTGCACGCGAAACAATAGGAATATTCTTCACTTCCGCTGCTCCCTCCTGCTCTTCTTGAAACTCAGCCTTCAGCATAGATAACTCTGTAAGAAAAAGAGCCCCTCTCATGAGTGGGCAGATGACACCTGACATCCAGCCTCAGGGTTGGCGAGCAGTAGGGAGGGGTTGGCACCTCCTCTCCGTCCCACCTGACAACTTCTGTGTGTGAAATCAGGCTCCATTATGCTCTGGGTTTTTTTTGTTTTTTAAAGATTTTATTCATTTATTTGAGGCAGAAAGAGAGAACCCAAGTGGGGAGGGAGCATCAGAGGGGGAGGGAGAAGCAGACTCCCCACTGGGCAAGGAGCCTGACATGTGACTCAATCCCAGGACCCCCGGGATCATGACCTGAGCCGAAGGCAGACACTTAACCATCTGAGCCACCCAGGCGCCCTGCTCTGGGTTTTTAAGAGCAGGCCAGGGGGCTTTTATGTTGTGAATGACTGGGGTTTTGTGAAGTGTCTGGAAGGTTAGATGACCCAGCGAATCCATCCTGTGAGCCACCAATCTGCAGGCTTTGCTTTGACTCAAAGAGGAAAAAGCCCAGTTGTGTTTGGAAACACCCTTCTCCATCATTTTCCTTATCGGATCTGGATGCTCCTCCCCTGTCACTTAGGGTCCCCAGTCCCTCTCAGACATGGCCGGCACCAACAGGAAGGCTGTGGTGGTAGAGACTGGTATGTGTCCCGAGAGTGACGGAGTCCCCGGCTCCCTCCTCAAGTGTCACTGTTTGTGGGAGACTCACCGCACGTCCCGGTTACCCCGGGCCTGCTGTCTCAAACACGGCTCTCAGGGTGTCACAGGAGGGGTGTCTGTCTTAGGTTCTTGGCCAAGTCCACTTGTCTTTTTCTATTCCATTAGAGTCTATCTTGTCATGACACAGATTACTGTTGTTCCTCTTGAACTAGGAGGAGGAGAGGGTCACATACTCAGTCACCCTAGTTCTCATTACCTGCTAGTTTGGTTGTGAGAGGAGAGCCCAGTGGCATTTGCTTGATTTGGACACAAGGGGGCATCAGAAAGCTGATATCAGACGCGCCTATGCTCTTCTGGCCTTTTATTCAGTCTCCTTTTCTGTGGTTTTATTGAAGATGGCGCTTCAGTATGCCCCTTGCAGGTGTTAGTCTGAAGTCTTGCAAGAAGGCTTCCCCTCACAGAGAGTTAAACTGGAGCTGGGACCCTAGCATCTCAGGTCCGGGAGGAACCGTAAGACAGCCTCTGCCCAGCCCTGTCCCTTCGGTCAAAGGCGGAACTGAGGCCAGAGAAGTTAAGGTTCACAGTCACGTTCACTCGGGTCTCAGTGGGAGAGCTGGGCTCTCATCCCCAGGTCAGAGTCTTCTGCCTCTGCTGTTTGAGCTGCAGTGGGGAAGAGGGATACCCTCCTCCTACTCACCTTCCAGAAGGAAGGACACCGATCCAGTTCTTGTGTAGTGACGCTTGTGCCCAGTGGGCGCGGCAGGCAGTTTGTCAGAGGAGGCAGCTGGCAAATTCTTCTCTCCAACTCTTCGAAGAAAAGGCCAACGTGGGGCTGATAAAGAAAAAGCGAGATTCACCTCCAGCGAACATTCCTTAAGCACCTGCCATGTGTGCGGCCACATGCTAAGTGCTTGCACGTAACACCATCTCATTTAATCTGCGTGATCCTGGCACCCCTACCAATGCGAAGTCAGCTTAGGGAGGCATCATTTCAGAGCAGAATGGAGGAAGTCCTGCAGGCAAGCAAGAACATGCTGGAATTCTCCACCCATCCTGGACTCCGTGCCAAGATAATTACCATAAATGTAGGCAGAATGACCCTTCCGCTGCAGCTGCATGCTGACTTCCTGTGTTCCGCTGCTTTTCATCTCACTTGGTGGTTCTCAAACTTCCACTTCTCAGGTGCTTCTCGGGACTGCCCACCCAAAGCCTCTGCCTTCCACAGATGGTTATTATTGGCTCTCTAACTCGGGAGCTTAACCCCAGAATAAGATCAGGAGCCACCAGGGGACAGTCCTTTGCATCACGAGGGAAATATGATCAGCAGGAAGGTGGCAAGAGTTCCCCAAAGCAGTTCTTACCACTCTGGCCCCTGTGCTTTGTGACAAGGGCTGTCACTGGCAGGCAGGTGGCTGCTGTGGACATGGTCTGTCTCGTGTTAGCGGAATGTCTGATGGTACCATGGCTGTGACTGGGAGGGAGACCCGCAGGGTGGCCTCAGTAGGATATTGCAGTTGATTTGCAGCTTACACGACAGTATCTAAAGAGCGCAATTGTACCCCCAAGATGGGGCCCCTCGTATTGGACCAGAAGACTCCTCCCTGGCCGCTGTCTTGTTCAGCACTGCTTCTGGCAGTCACTCCTCGAGAACAAAAACCTGAGCAGCTTGCTGATGCCAGAAACACAGAGCCAGGAGCCTAAAGACCTCAACAGTTTAGAATTGAGAGGCGGACTAAACAATATAATTGAATACAAGAACTCTGAAGTCGCGTCCTCGAGTTCTGCATGGGGGGTGCTGGATGGCTGCATGCCTTGCCGGCTGGCTGCCAACCAGAATGTGCTGGGCTTCTCCCCGCTGCCCTTGCCTTGTGTGGGCCCAGCATCACTCCTGCACCCTTGTCCCTGCCATCTCTCTGCTCTGCCGCCAACAAAGATCTTTCTGAGAAAGCCAGTCATGTCTCTCCCTGCCTGGACTCTTCTGTGGCTCCCTGCTGCCCTTCAGGGTGGACCCTAAATTCCTTAGCCTGACTTACCCAGGCCTTTCATGATCTGGGGAAAGAGACCAGGAGTTGAGGGGTGGGGCGTATTTTTATTTTTATCTCATAGGGGTCTGAGTTTGACTGATTTTTACCATGAGCTAAATAAGCTAGTCTTTGCATTAAAATAGGGTGGGATCTTGTCGCCATTACTTCCATCCTTTGTCTGACGGCCAGGAGCTTGTTGCAGCTCATCTTGTCTGGTTTCCCCATCTCCGTGCTCTGCATCATCTCGAGAGCAGCCTCCCCTTGCCACAGAGCAGTGGAGTCCCATCCCCAAAATGAGTTTTCCTTTTAACCGGCCCATTTAAAAACGGGTGAGAACTGCCCATCCCCACACCCCACATCCTGACTTGGGTGTTTAGTAGTTACGCCAGGAAGGCTTCACACAGGGGAGCCGGAACTGTGGAGCAGCAGCCGTGAGTTAGGCAGAGGGCCTCCCCCTCCTGACGGGCTGCCATTCTGGCCTCGGCAGGACGGCTACGAGCAGCTCCGGCAGCTCTCCCAGCACGCCATGAAGGGCGTCATCCGCGTCAAGTTTGTCAACGACCTCGGGGTGGACGAGGCAGGCATTGACCAGGACGGTGTCTTCAAGGAGTTCTTGGAGGAAATCATCAAGAGGGTGTTCGACCCAGCACTCAATCTGTTCAAGGTATTTAAGGGGAGCGGGAGCAGGGCTGACGGCAGCCACATTCTCGGTGACGAGTGGGAAGCAGAGGGCCGGGCACGTAGGCTCCCTGCCTCTCTCCGTTCTTCTCCCTTGCAGACAACCAGCGGGGACGAGAGGCTCTACCCCTCACCCACGTCCTACATTCACGAGAACTACCTGCAGCTCTTTGAATTTGTGGGCAAGATGCTGGGGAAGGCCGTGTACGAGGTAGGCACATGCAGGAGCAGCGCACCTGGGGGGGAAACAAGATGCTAGAAGGCCCGGGGACTTGGTGCGCGGTGTCGTGGCGGGGCCCACCTACATAAAGGCGCTGTCATCAGGAGGGAGCCCGAGAAAGAGGGCAGGACCCACGATTACTGGACAGAAATACTCGGTGCTTTCCACGGGGTATGTCATTTCACCCTCCCGCCCAGTCCTGTGGCCAGGCTGCTGCCGCCCCATTTCCCTGCCGGTGACAGGACCAAGGCTTCGAGAAGTCACTGGTCCAGACTCTCAGTGCTAGTTCAGCGGTAGAACCCAAATTCAAACCCAGGCCGGCGTGGTCCCGTTGTAGGAAGGCAGCATTTTGTGGGGCGTGTTAGTTGTTACAGCTGTTTCCTTGAATCTTTTGTAATTGGAGTGAGTGCTTCAGAGCCAGCTGCAGGCCTCTCAGTGTTGCCTGTGAGCCAGAACAGGACCGCAGGACAGTGCCCCCAGCTGCTGGTTGAGACTGGCCGTCCCCGGCTAGCCGTATGACTGCAAGCATGTCGCGTTTATTTCCCTCGTTCTGGTCGGAGGGAGTAGGGGTGATAAAAGCTACGTGATGGGGTTGCTGTAGATAGTAAATGAGCGAACATAGGGAAGACCCCCTCCCGTGGTGCCCGGCTCGTCGGTCTCGTGGGGTCAGGGCGGCGTGGACTGGGGCAGGCCCCAGGCGAGGCCCACACAGCTCCCGGTCCCTGTCCACTGCAAGCCAGGCTGGCAGAACTCCCTCCAGGGGGCTTTGGCCCCCACCCTGAGGGTCCCGCTCCCCAGGCAGGAAGGAAAGCTGCAGCGGGAGCTTGTGTCCTTCACAATGGGCTCCAAGAGTGCCTGAGCAGCACTCATCTCTCACCCATCACAAACCCTAGGGAAGGCAGGGTGCCCTCCAAAGGCAGGGCTGGTGGCTGGGGCCAGTGGAGGGAGGGAGGGAGAGAGGCCATTTGGGGGCGAGCATACGCATTCTCTCTGTGTTCGTGGCCTCAGTCCCTGGCCAGCGTGAGATCAGATGCCCCCTCTGCATCCCTGCCCAGGCTCCCTCAGGCTGCCTCCTGCCCTAGACGGGGTGGGGGTCCTGGGCTCCTTTTCTGTGTTTGTTTCCACATCTGCAAATGGAGACCATATTTCAGCTGATTTCCCATTTAGAAAAGAAATCCCATGAGGATGTACCTGGCTATGTGCCACATTTCTCTTTTTAAACATGTAGCTGTGATATGTCCAGAAGAGTTGGGCCAGCCGAGAAGCATGACTTCATGGCTTCTGTGAACGTGCTCCCCCGTTCCCTGGACCCAGCGTCTGTCTCCTTCTCCAGCAGTAACAGCACAGAGAGAAATTAGGACATGCTGGGCCCCGTGTGAGGAGCAGCGTGTATTAACTCACGTAACCCTCGCAGTCCTCTGAGATGGGCCATCATCGAGTCTGAGCCCCTGTCCCTTCTAAATCTCTCTGACCTGCATACTTCTCTCCAGCTAGAACAATCTGTCTGTCCTCCCCAGTGTTCTGCAATGGTTTTCTTGCTGCATCCCTCCCTGCCTCCTGTCCTCCTCCGGGCCGTTCCCCATGCCAAGTACAAACCTGACACTTCTCTGCCTAGAGCCCCCCTGGGGCTCCCTGCTGCCCTCCACATAGAGTTCAGACTCCAGGAAGCTCAGGAAGCCCCCCCTGATCTGGCCCTGATCCCTCGCCTCTCCTCCTTCAAACACTGTGCTATGGCCAGAGAGCTCTGTGCTCCCCACCCCCTACCCCGGGGCATGCCTGTGGGCCTCATACAAGAGCCCTTGTGCTCCTCAGGTCTAGCCTAGATAGGTCTCTCTCCTGGAGGCTTCCCCTGCCCTGTCTGCAAGTGAGAGCCGATGCTTTGCTTTCCTCTCCACCCTGCTCATTTAAACCTGAACACTGGGAGGCTCTGCCGGTCCCCATTTACAGAGGGGGAGAGCCGACATCCTGCAGCCAGGCAGCAGTGCAGCTGGGACTGGACCCCTGAGCTGTGTAGCTCCAAAGCCTGTGCCCTTAACTGCTGTGCCGTGATGTCCCCCGGAGGCGCTTGTTGGTGTGCAAGTGGTGGGAGGTACTGGTCTCCACCTCAAAAGTTTATGAAGCACCTCGAGATGTCCTTGACGCCCTTGGAGCCCCTCTGCAGCCCGAGCCACCCTGACCAGGTCCCTGAGGTGGGATCCCGCATGGCAGACGGTGAGCTTCCGTCTCTCCTCTCGCAGGGAATTGTGGTGGACGTGCCCTTCGCGTCCTTCTTCCTGAGCCAGCTGCTCGGGCACCACCACAGTATCTTCTACAGTTCTGTGGACGAGCTTCCTTCGCTGGACTCAGAGTTCTATAAAAACCTCACTTCCATTAAGGTCAGTGTGGCATGGCGGAGGGCATCGCTGCAGGCTGGTGGAAGCTCAGTGAAGTGAAGGCCTCGGGGCTCTTGTGTGGTGGGAGGCGATTTCCTGCTCTGGGGCAGGGGCTGCTCTGTAGCCACCATGGGCCCCCACGTCCCCTTCTGGCCATTCCTACCTCCTTCCTCACGGTGATGAGTGGCCTTTCCCTTTGCTTCAGGCTGAGTGGCAGTCATAGTGGTCCTGCCCATGCAGCACCGTGTGTTGGGCGGGGGCGGGGGGGTTAAAGCTTTCAAGGGTATGGCCCGCCTGGGTCCCAACGCTTGCCCTTTCTCTGTTGCATTAGCGCTACGACGGGGACATTGCTGACCTGGGCCTGACTCTGTCGTATGACGAGGACGTCATGGGTCAGGTAGGTCGGCCTCTATGGCTGAGCGATTCTTTGCCGCCCTCCACTGGCTTCCTGGGACCTGCCCTGCTCTTGGTGTTTTCCCCAGGAGAAGGTCCACAAACCGAGGCTGGCTGTCCTCTGGTGTCTGGCTCCCTCGCCCATCCCCCTACTCCCGCCTCACCAGCCAGGGGGGCGTTCCCCCTCCCGTTCCCAGTTGACCTGGCCTTTGCCTGCTTGGCCCTCGGAGAGCTCCCCCACAGAGACCCTGCTCTGCTTAGATCGCACTTAGGGTCCTTCCTGATGGAAGCTCTAATTCCCCATTTGTAACGTTGCTTTTTGTTGCCATGGTGAGGATTAGCTGTCACACACGGAGGCTTGTGACTTGCAGAGGGGAAGAAGCCACCCGAGAAGTGCCTCGAACAGAATCCAGGCCTTGCTCTTGCTCAGCATGGAGAGCAGAGCAGGAGGAGAAGACAGTGGACACTGTGGCAGCAGAGAAGTCTCCTGCCAGAGTTTGCCTTTTGGCTTTTCCCTGAAGTGCCCTCTGTGCCCTCCAGTGCTGTCCCAGCGGACACCTGCGTGAGCCTCCATGCGCCCGTGTTCTGAGGGCTGCGGGAGAAACCGGACCTAAAGCTTCCTCATGCAGAGCTGGCTTCTTGGGGCCGAGCCTGCATCACCTCCAAGAGGTCACTCGTCTCCCTGAGCCCCACTTCTCTTCTCTCACAAAAGTACCTCTCGTGAGTGTGAGTCCTGGCTGGGAGCAGCGTGACGCCATGAGCTCCTGCAGGGAGCCCTGAGCACGCTGGTGTGTGAGTGCTCTGAGGAGCCTGTGAGGGAAGAACCTCCGCCTTCCCACAGAGCGATTCTCCAAGGCTCTCCAAGTAATAGCGCGCGGACGAGGCACTCCCTGGAGCCCTTTCCGGGAAACACCAGGCCGGGGGCTTGCCAAAGGCCCTTCCAGCTTCAGAGTCCTCCGGTTGCCCCAAGGTGTTGGCAGCGCTGGGACTAGAGGCCACGATCACTCCTTTCTTCATCATCAGAGACCCAGGATATTCTATTAGTAGAATTTCTGCTAAAATTAGCTTTAAAACTATGCATTCTTTGATTTTTAGGTGACCCCCAGAAATGCCTGAAGTTGAGGAAAAGACTTCTGTGGTCTTCAAATCTTTAATCAGATTTTGAGCCTTCCTCAGAATTTTCTCTTTTGATGATAAAAATAACACCCAACTGGTAACCACAGATTCTGCTATGAGATGAGCACAGAACATGAAAAAACCAGTTATAGGACCAGTGCCAGGAGAGCACCACTGTTAATGTGTCATGTGTTTTCAGACTTTTCTCCCGGGGCACCTATATCATTTTTTTTTTCCAGAAATGGTACCATACCATTCCAGGGTACAGCTGTACCAACATTTATTTAACTGTGCTCATAATGCAAACATGGTCCCCTCTATGATGTCTTTAAGCCTTAGTACAAATGTCTGCATGAGGGTCGGATGAGAAGAAACCTTCCATACTGATTGTGCAGGGTCTGCTTGTTGATACTTAAGCCCTTCTTGTGAAAATGATTATTCCCATACACGTCCCATCTTCATTCTGTCATGATTATGGACGTTGGCGTCGGGCCCTTTCATCTTCAGGAAGCCTTATTTTCCCGTTAGAATTCTCTCGAGTAATTGCGCCCCATCTTCTCCCCCAGCTTGTTTGCCATGAACTGATTCCTGGAGGGAAGACCATTCCTGTTACGAATGAAAATAAGTGAGTATAGCAATTAGATTTTTAAGGTCAGCACTTGAAAAGACTTCATTCTTGGCTCTCCGGTCTTACTTTGAGAATTTATTAAGATAGATTGAAGTACAAAGAGGCCATAAATATCATAATGGAATTTACTGGTTACAGTTCATAGGCCAAAATTGTATTAAATTCGATTTGCAAAATAAGAATTGACAATTTATTTTTTGCAGTAGCACATCTAAGGTCAGAGGCACCCAGGCCACAGTGCTCCTAGGAATTTAATGATGGCTCGAGATGCAGACAAATGGATTCTGAGCCGCTCGGGCACGTAGTCCTGAACCCAGAGGGCACAGAGGCAGAAGGACACCTTGGAGGGGCAGATCATTTTGGAATGATAGCATGTGGCAGTTGTATCAAATGCTGTTCTTGAGAAGACACAGTGATGAATTCAAATGCCACTGATAGGTCCTTAGACGTGGGGGGACTCGGAGGCCCAGCAGCTATTGTCACAGATAACAGGCTTTTAGAAATCTATCATAAATGTCAACCTCTTTGGTCCCTAGAAGCAAAACTCCTTAATGCACTGTCTCCACCCGCACTATTCTCACCTAATTAAAACAGTAGAACCTGGCATGAGGAGTAGATATTGGCCCTTTTGTCAATCTATCAATCTTCTCCTGCCGCCAGGCTCAGCTGAGCATCTGAACTGTTAATCTGAGCATCACTCTCCCAGTGACAAGTGAGAGCTCAGTCCCACCTGGTGAGTCATTTGGATCAGATGCACATTGCAGCCCGAGCATCCTGCCCCTCTCGGGTCAGGTGGTTGGGGCAGTCTGCATGCTGGCGGAGCTTTGACTTAGACTGTCAGTGTGGTCAGAAGAATGGGCCTGATTCTTCTCGGGATTGAAAGACACCAGTTTTGACTCCTGGCCACGGGGCATTAGTTGGACAACTGAGAAGAGAGCCGGGCGCTCAGGTGGGGAGGTGCTGCCGGGGGGTGTCAGCAGGGCCGCGTCCTGTTGCTCCCTGCCGTGTGCCTATAACCATCCCTTCAGAGGGCTTCTGTGAGCTCATGCGTGTAAAATACCTTTCAGGATGTCTGGCTCAAGGGGGGGGGCCTCAGTAAAGGAGAGTAGTGAACGTCCCCAATGTCAGCTGTGTAACATGTCCCATAGAGCCTGCCACCCCCAGATCGGCCGTGTTTTGCTGGGCGTGGTACGAGGGGGATGGTGGAAGCGGCATAGGTCACAGCCAGAGGCAGCGGGCCACTGCAGCCTGTGCTGGAGTGAGACTCCTGTCCTGCCTGGACCTGTGTGAAAGCCACTTCACCAGCTTACACGTTCTCAGCGAAAACCTCAGCGTGGGGCGCCTGGGTGGCTCAGTTGGTTAAGCAGCTGCCTTCGGCTCAGGTCATGGTCCTGGAGTCCTGGGATCGAGTCCCGCGTCGGGCTCCCTGCTCGGCAGGGGGTCTGCTTCTCCCTCTGACCCTCCTCCCTCTCGTGCCCTCTCTCTCTCAATAAATAAATAAAAATCTTTAAAAACAAAAAACTCAGCGTAAGGGCAAGGGGATTCGGTTCGACAGACGGTCTTAAAAGGCCTGGAAACGCCAATTCCGCCCTCCTTAGGGGTGATACTTGATCTTGCACTTTCTGTTAAATGGGAAAGTCCTCCAAAGTCCCCCTCTCTCTTTTGGTAAAATGGGACAATATCAGCAACCTGCTTCGAAGCGTGTATGAAAGGGGTATCAATAATGGAAAAAAGTTATATATAAGTATCTCAATGCGCAAGTCTGCTGCTGGATAATTTTTTTAAATAGGCATATTTTCAGGGCCAGAAACTCAGGTCTGAGCACTGTGGGGTAAAATTTTTATTTGGACTGTGCTAATTTGGGATTTGGGGAGTTGTACCTGGGCTGGGCTCAGGTACTTTGCTAAGAAATCAGCCATGCCAGCAAGCCTGGATTTAACCTGTTCGAAAGGTTTGCATTGTATTACAGTCGTAGATGAGGTCATTGCACTCAGTAAAGCAGGCCCAGAAGATCCATCTGCTCGGAACTGTTGTTAGTGCTCTGACTTCCCCTTTGAACCTAAGTGTAAGCCAGCTGCATTTGGTCACAGCTTTCTGCAGCCTTACTTTTCATGGCTTCCAGTCCTGGTCCAGATTAGCAAGGCTTTGATGGAGGTTTCATCATGCAGCCATTTTTCTTCCATTTTTTTTTCTTAAAGATTTTATTTATTTATTTGACAGACAGACAGGGAGAGAGGAAACACAAGCAGGGGGGGTGGGAGAGGGAGAAGCAGGCCTCCCACGGAGCAGGGAGCCCGATGCGGGGCTCGATCCCAGGACTCTGGGATCATGACCTGAGCCGAAGGCAGATGCTTAATGACTGAGCCACCCAGGCGCCCCTCTCCGTTTTAAAGCTTACTAGAGGACAGAGTTCTCTCTTAATCGGATGAAATTAAAGTCCAAAAAGCTGTACTTTTTGTACTGAGAAAGGGCCCTCTCCCTACCTGGGTTTTGGGGAGGAGTGAACACCTCCACAGTGGCACCTAGCGTGCCATTCAGGAAGGTTAGCATTACCATCATCATCATCATCGTTGTCCTCACCATCATTCTGGTGAAATGCCCTGGTACCACTGGTGTTTTTGTTAAGTGGTCCAGAAATGACTGGACTCATCTTTCAGCCCACTGGTAACAGCCTAGCCTGGCCTCCTAATTCCCACTGTTTTCTCCTGTTGGTAACAGGATTAGCTACATCCATTTGATGGCACATTTTCGGATGCACACCCAAATAAAAAACCAGACAGCTGCCCTCATTAGCGGATTCCGCTCCATTATCAAGCCCGAGTGGACTCGGATGTTCTCAACCCCTGAGCTACAGCGTCTCATCTCCGGTGACAATGCTGAGATTGATCTGGAAGATTTAAAGTAAGGAGCGAAGGTGGGGAGGGGGGTGAAATCTTCAGCCTCCTGGAAAGCAAGCTGCCCCCTTGCTGGGCTCCTTCTGTTTCAGAAGCCCACCTCCATGTGTGCTGCTCCCTGGTCACTGGGTGAATCGCTCTGAAATAAAAGATCCCCCACTTGTCTGCCTAGAGACTAAAAAGTGGAAGTAGAGTTTAAGCAGGTGTCAAGGATTCTGGGCTCTCCAGAGTTCTGGGAAATGGCAGTGCAGGAGCTCTTGTTAGCTCCTGTTCGGGAGTCTCAGGGCCGGCTCTTGAGCTCCCCACCCCCCTCAGCTTCCAGGGACATGGGTTACGAAGGCGTGAACTTCTGCCCTGAGAAGTTCAGGAGTCACCCAGGCCTGCCAGAGTTGGCTGTGCCACTTGGCTAAGTTCCGTCCCTGCCTGTGTCTGTAAGCACCCATTGGAATGTGTGGCTGAGCCCATTGTCTGCATTGTTTTCAGGAAGCACACAGTGTACTACGGTGGCTTTCATGGAAGTCACAGGGTCATCATCTGGCTGTGGGATATTCTGGCCTCTGACTTCACACCCGACGAGAGAGCCATGTTTCTGAAGGTATTTTATGTGTTACCTAGATATGCGTTCATAGATATTCTCATAAACCTAGAGGCCACTTGATGTAATAATTTATACTGGGAAAAAGTAAAATTATCAAGAGGACCTCCTATCATCAGCATATCCTCTCCCCTAGGCTGCCTCCATGGTAGGTCAAGCAGTAACCAGACAGGCTCGGGGTGAGACTGAGTCACGTGGGCCCAGGAGCTGCTGCGTACCCCTCTGCAGAGACAGGCCTGCATGGGCTTGAGCTCGTTGGGCTCAGCACTCCGTCTTCCCCTTCACTGGTGCTGGCCTTGCTCACATCTCGTTTCTTCCTTCCTTATAGAAGCAAATGGTGTTTATTACCTTAAAATACAGACAAGCAAATTTTTTTAAATTTTTTTAAATTTTTTAAATTTTTTTTTATTTTTTTTAAGATTTTATTTATTTATTTGAGAGAGAGAGAATGAGAGACAGAGAGCATGAGAGGGAAGACGGTCAGAGGGAGAAGCAGACTCCCCGCTGAGCAGGGAGCCCGATGTGGGACTCGATCCCGGGACTCCAGGATCATGACCTGAGCCGAAGGCAGTCGCTTAACCAACTGAGCCACCCACGCGCCCCTTTTTTTTTATTTTTAAGTAATTTCTACACCCAACGTGGGGCTCAAACTTATAACCCCAAGATCAAGAGTCACATACTCCACCGACTGAGCTAGCCAGGCGTCCCCAGACAAGGCAACTTTTGAACAATCTCCATTCCTACTCTCCAGGGACTGCCTCTGTGTACCTTTTCCTCAGTGGTGTGAAACATGCAGTACCACACATACAATGTCCCCGTAAAACACACGTGATTGAGTAGGCTGATAGCAATGTGTATTTTTGCAAACAGAGTGGCTGACATTAACCAGTTCCCTTATACCGGTGTCTTTAAAGTTGTAAACGTTCAAAACATTCCCTCCGACGACACCGTGTTGTTTCCTGTTACTGACGTTGGCAAAGCCTTTTATAGGAGGTACAGCTGGGGGCACCACCGTCTCCCTCTGCCCAGTGCTCCCATGCATGGCGTCTCTCGAAGCAAAGGCCTGCATGCCAGTCCCACTTGAGATCAGTCCCGTGGAGGGGGAGTTTGTGTTGTTTCTGAACTCAGCGGCACATTCTCCACCAGCCCCTGGGTTGGCACGCACAAATGACTGGTCACATCTGCTGGTGTGGCTTTCATGTGTTTTAACCTTCAAGAACAACACCCTTAAGAGAGACATGAGACGTATACCAGTTCTTGCGCTGAATGCACGGTCTGTGGTCACCCTCCTGTCATACTATGACTGGAGAAAGCAAAAAACGTGCAGCTCGCCTGCCAGGGGCCTGTTGCTGAGGGAGCAAGAGCCCCAGTCTGGCCCCTCGACCTGCCTTGTGTTGCAGTTTGTGACCAGCTGCTCCAGGCCCCCGCTCCTGGGATTCGCCTACCTCAAGCCTCCCTTCTCCATCCGCTGTGTCGAAGTGTCAGATGATCAGGTACCACTGCTGGGGGAAGAGTCAGCTGCTCTTGGTGGTGGTGTGCTGTGCCCACTGGGTAGAACCTTTACCTGGTCTGTGTCCGCGGGGCAGGCAGCGCAGCTCCTGGGAGCCAGGTGCGAAGGTTCCACAGCCCTCCAGCCAGGAGAGCAGTCGGGCCCCCAGAGGATGCCCTTGGACTCGGGCTGCTCTGCGGCCTCAGCTCTCTCGGAGGTCCCTTTCTCTTTACTCCCTCAGGAAAGGGTACCTGGGGGTGGTTTTAGTAGCTGGTGGCCTGGCCGGGGCTCCAGGTCTGAGAGGCAGTGTGGGAGGGGGCTAAGGACACTGGCTTAGCAATGGGGCAGGCGAGGGCTTGTGTGCTGCCCCTTCACATCTGGCAGGCCGCTTCATTTCCTCGTCTGTAAGGGGGAACAGATGCCTCCGGGGTTATCATGCTCCGTGGAGGGGGTGCTCCAATAGTAGCCATTGTTCAGCGTCTCAGCCCCTCTCTCCTGCCTGCAAAAACCCAGCGGCCTCTGAGTGTAGCTGCCTCTCCGGATGCTGCAGTCTGGCCTCCACGTCACTCGTGTGACACCAGACAACCCTCAGTCCCCTTACTTAAGGAAGATTGCCCCACATTACAGTCTGCCATGGGCCACACGCTGGTGGGAGGAAATGGGAGGCTGCATTTAGACATGTTTTTGTACCTGAAGTATGTTTACAGTAGTCTGGCTCTTTGAGAATCGGTTAAGCGATAACTAGCAGTTAACCCGAAGGCCGTCTTTCTGAGCGCTTACCTGACAGGGGTCCCCCGCAGGACTGGGCCGCTGGGGCTGCCGCTGCTGTGCTCAGCACTCAGGGCCAGGGGCCTCCGCTGCAGGGCGTCCTCGAGCAGCAGTGTGCTCTCACCGGCCTGGCCGTTCTGCTCGGCCCCGAGGCTAGCCAGGTCCTCTCCTGGGTCACCTGCTCTGGCACCCACCCAGGCTCCCTCGCCAGGTGCCTCCCACCCAAGGTTGTGGTGTGTGCTTGCAGGACACGGGGGACACCCTGGGCAGTGTCCTCCGGGGCTTCTTCACCATCCGCAAGCGGGAGCCGGGCGGCCGTCTGCCCACCTCCTCCACCTGCTTCAACCTGCTCAAGCTGCCTAACTACAGCAAGAAGAGCGTCCTCCGGGAGAAGCTGCGCTATGCCATCAGCATGAACACGGGCTTCGAGCTCTCCTAGTTCCCCGCTCCCGCCACCTGCCCTGGCCAACTCCTGGGGTCCCAGGGACCTTCAGCTCCAGGGGGCAGGGTCACCCTGGGAGTGGGTGACCCACAGGCCGGGTGACCTCTCACTCTCTATAGCCATGAGACTCCCCTGTGGCCTCAACTACTTGGGACGCACATGACGACTCCATAGCATTCTCCAGGTGACACTGATGGGAAGGGTGTTGAGAATAAACCTCCAGGTTCTGCCCGCACTGATCCTTTTCTCCTACTTTCCGGGGTCTGAAGCCCGGGCCTGTGATCACAGAGGGCCTTCTCCTTTTGATAGTTTGGTTTTTTGGTGAGTCTTTCCTTTCCTTAAATTTGTGAATGAGCTGTGCATGAACAAGCCCCAGGAACTCCAAGGGTCCAGACTGGTTTTCGCGATATGGTCCTGAGTGCCCAAAGCCTACTACGGGTGAGACGCTCTCCTTCTGTTTCTGAAAACTCTCTTCTCAGGTAAGGCCTTGCCAAGCCTCTATGCACTCGACAAAGTCTCTGCCTCCGTCCCGTCCACAGCGGCCTCTCTGCAGACAGCCAGGCCCACCTGCTCCCCAGGGAAGCAGAGGTGCCTGCCAGGAAGGCTGCGGAGCCCGGGACGTTCGGGCACTACCCCCACCTTGAAACCACGCATTCTGTGCGGCAGCGGTGCCCCTCCCCCACTCCTCAGGCCAAGCTGCCCAGAGGCCCCCACTGGCTGGATCCTGTCTCGTGCGTTCACATTGGCATTCTGGCTTGGGGAGAAAAAATACCTGTTGGCCCTTAAGAGCAGCTCCATTTCCAGAGGGCACTGGCTGTTCCCCAAAGCCTGCTGATTAGGGGGTAGCTGCCTTCCCCCTGCTTGTTTGCCCTGCTTTTGTCTAGTAAGGAACAAACACTAGCCGAGTTTCCCAGCCTGTTGGGGCAGTGGCCTCCCCCTATTGATGGTAAAATCCCAAGAAACTTGGGTCTTGCCGCTCATTTTTCCTCAGCACGGGGAACCGGGAGCCCTTCACACTGACAGACGCTCAAAGGGCTGAGGGAACTCTGGGTTGGGTTTTTTGGTTTTTGGTTTTTTTACTTCGTTTTCTCTTCCAACCCATTGTGCTCCTCTGCCCTCATTCTTCCCCCTTATCACGAGAACTTTATTCTAGATCCAGGGAATTGAGACAAAGGCCATGTCCATGGTCTGTGTTGACAGCCATCCACCCTCACCCCCCTCGTCAAGCTCCTTATGCATCCCCACCACCAAGATTGAAGCCAGGAGTGCCTGGTCCCTCCTCTGCTCTGTGGAGCTGGCTGGGGGCTTGCAGCTTTCTACCAAGCAGCAAAGCACCTTCTGGCAAAAACCTTCATGTTGGCAGCAAAGCGGGCAAGACCTATCTCCATGGCCTCCCTCAGAGGGTTGCAGCTGGGTGCCGTGTCCTGCCCGGGCCCAAGCCTGGCTCCCTTAGAGCCCCTGGGCTTCTGGAAAACAGAGTTTGTGTTTTACTTTGATGGAAAGCTGGCAAGGAATTTAAAGACAGGAATTTATTATTATTATTTAAGATTTGTTAGTAACCTCTGATTCTGTGGATTTGCCACTTTAAATACTCGACTCCTTTGAAGACCTCCTCAGAACACGCGTGTACGCGGAGCAGGTTTGTACGTTTATGCTGGGGCCCAAAGGACGATCAGCCTGCACAGAGACGTTTGATTCCATCTTGACTTTGATTACCCGAGAATCCGCCAGCTTGGGGCTGGGGAGAGAGTGGCTTCTAAGCACCGACACCAACTTTATCTGTTCTTTTGACGAGGAGGGGTGGTTTGTAATTTCATTTAAATTGTTCTTCTCTCCAACAGCTGGAGATACTGCACTCTCGAAAACACTGCATCTGTACTTTTATGGCTGGTGTTCGTTGACACCTCGATGGCTCTTGATGGCTCTAAAAAGTTGTGGGGGGGGTGGTTTCATAGATAACCTAGGGATTAAAATGTGATCAGAGGCTTTATTAAATTTGTACTTCAGCACATGATGGCTGTGTTCTGCTGTTTATCTGAAGAAGGAGTGCCTTAGGACCACATGCCTGGGTAGCTCACAAGGGGGCTCCTGAAGCTTAAAGGGCACATAGGCTCCCGCCGTGGAAAGACGATTCAGAGGAAAATACAACAGACACTCAAGTCTCAGCGGCAAAGCAGAGTTAGTAGCGGTTGACAATGTTCTATTCGCTTCCAGTTCTGTTTTGAGAGGTGGCATGTTTCAGATAAAGCTCAGGTCACCTCCAGCACCACCCAGGCCCTTGTCCCTCTCACCCACTTTTCCAGAGGCAGGCATCACCCCGGATTACGTGTTTTATACACTAACGGATACAATAGATGTGTGTTCATTGGAAACCATCCACATAACTCACAAGCACATGAAGGCAAATTTTACAGCTACATCGGGGTCTATGTGGCTTTGCTCCCTGAGGATCGTACTTGCAGGACACACAGCCCTGTGTCATTCTGTTCAGCCCACATTTACGCTCAGCAGAAAACCCATCTCAAAACCGGCCCGTTTTTCCAGCTCCACCTTAGTTGGCTTTTGCCCTCATCCGCGGCAGCTGTGGCCTCCTGGGAGTTCTCACCGCCGTCTCCGGCCTGGAGCCACCAGAGGGTCGGAGCAGGAGGCTGGCCCGTTAAAATCCAGGGACTCAGACAAGAAGTCCTGAAAGCCTGACGGCCCTTTTATAATAGAATGCCTGGGCACCCAAGAGGAGTTCGTGTGTGCCGGGTTTTCTCACGCGGAGCATTCATACCGGCGAAGGAAAAGAATCAACCTCCCCAGATAACGCCGGCAGCGTGTGAGACACTCCCACCTAAAAATCCAAAGCCTCGTTCTGTGACATTTTGGCCTTTACAAATTATCATGGCAAAGAGAAAGTTCTTACGACTAGGAAAAACAAGTGGGTTTTTTAACTTATTTAAATGAAAACAATTTTAGTACACAGACAGAACTTGCAAGTGCCTAAGAATATTGAGGTCAGACACAGTTTGAGAAACACTCCACCATGTTTGGGACTGCAGCAAAGCCATCTGCCGGTCTTTGTCCTGTTGACTTAGCAGAGGTCGCGCTGCTAAAAGTGTGTGGCAGGGTTATGGACAGACCAGTTATCTCTAAGGTTGGTTCATCTGGAGATCCAGGCCTCCCTTAGGCCTCAGACCTACTTCCTGGAAACTTCGTAGGTCGATGAGCCGCTGAAGAACTGTACTGTGGTTCGTTCGGTGCATTTTTCAAGAAGCCGAGCGAGGGCTCAGGACCACAGAGACGCATGTGGACCCTCCCTTCCTGGTTTGGGGCCGGGATCGGTCTGTGCCTCCTGAGAATCTCGGTGCCCACTTGCAGGGTGCGCAGGGATTACATGGAGCAGCATGTGACCTGCACCCCCCCTCAGTTCCTGGCACCAAGTCGGCATCCGACGTTAGTCCTCTTCCTACATTTGCTCACCCTGCACTAGAAGAAAACGGAGCTGCCTGTGGCCTGTCCATCTGGCCCTGGCCCAACTTCCAGTAGCTTCTGCTGCCGGTGAGAAATCGTCCGCGGTCTCCCAGGGAACTTCTGTGGACTGGCGGAAAGGCCCTCTCCCTCCTCCACGCCACGAAGCGTTCCCAGCTGGCGTGGCCTCCAGCCACCTTACTCACACACACTCACACTCCCGGACGCCAAACAGTCTTCAGGGTCAAGATGAAGTCGCTTGCTCATTATAATCATCATGAGAGCTAACATTTTTTATAAACCTGTACTTGCATCGCCACTGACTCTGGAGCCTAAGCCCTCGGGGCTCTGAGGGCACTGGACAGAGCAGGTTTGGAGCCTCGGGAACTGGGGTCGCGTCCCAGCTCTGCTGCTCATTGGGAGGCCGGGGACAAGGCCTCTGGCATCCCTGGGTTGTACCTCCCACCATGCAATGGCCTGTGCCAGGCCCTCTGAGGACAGTCGGTGATTCATGGCCAGTGTAACCGTTGCCATTATTTTATTCCAGAGACCTAACTGACGTCCTCTCTGGAATTTGTTTTTTCAGACTTCTTGCAAGGAGGCTTCCAGAGGTGTTAGCAGGACATCCTGAGGCACTTCTGCTGGGCTTCACCCTCAGCCGCGGGTTTTTGGCTCCTTTACCTGAGCCCTCACCAGGTCCTGAGCTTCCACCACGCACTTCGGCCCAGCCTCTCCCCCGGCCTGGGACCAGCAGCCACATTCCCTTCACGGTTTTCCCAGCCCGTGGCAGTTGGGTGGTCTCTGAGCCATAGGGAGACTCAGAGACTTGGGTAGACCAGGATGGGATCTGGGTCATTTTCCAGACCCTCCACCAAGAAAGCCAGACAGCACCCAGTGATGGCAGGAAAAACCCCACTGATGATGTGACCCGCTGCTCTGACCACAAAGAAGCCTGCAGGGGAGATCAAAACCTGAGCTTCCCAAACATCCACGCGCCCACGAGGCACCAGGGAGATCCTGAGTCAGCAGGCCTGGGGGCGCCGAGGGTCCTGCATTCCTGACTCAGGAGTCCGCCACAGCCCGGCATTAAGGCAGGTGGGGTAAGACCCTGAACTTGGCATCAAAAACTGGTTTGCATCAGCTGAGTGACTCTGGACAAGTTTCCAACTCCCTGAACCTTCTTTCCTCATCAGTAAAATCGCCTCCCAATACTAGTAACCCTCCTGATGACCTCACAGACAGCTTGGGGTGGTGGGGTCACACAGACCCCAGCGCCAAGCCCAGCCTCGCCTCTCACCGGCTGCAGGAGCTCTGACCACCTCTCCCAGCCTTGCTGTCACCCGAAAAACGGGCCTGAGTCACACCCTAAAATGCGTCTCCATGGTAATGGGACAAGTAGTGCTTCTGAGTCAAAAGAGGGGTCATCTGTGTTTAGGGAGAAGGGGGCCATAGAGGATGCGTTCCTTCATCTTCACCTGGAAAGAGGGTTTGCCCTTTGGAGACAGGAAGGGAGGCATTTGGGACAGAGGAAGCAGCCAGACCAAAGGTGAGGTGGTGAGCAGTGGGAGTCACATCCCGTCTCACTGAGGGCAGGAATGGGGGCGTCCTACCACAACCAGTGGTTGTCCGCCGGACCTTCGCCACGAGCAAAGCACTGCGCTCGGCCTTCTGCACAAGTTCTTCGCGTTCTCCACCCTGGGACCCAGGCACCAGAGTAGAACCAGTCCATTTCTGCGGATGAGGATGTGGAAGTTCAGAGAGGTGGATTCACTTGCACGAGACCACACAGCTAGAAAGC